TAAAAATTAGTTAAATTTTTTTGGTAGGGAAAATTTAGTTAAATTTAGTGAAAACCTTTCTTATATTTTTCTTGGAAAAAGCCAATTATTAAAAAAAAAAGTAAATTAAGAAAGCAGCAATACCTCGTGCAGCTTGTGTGACATGGACGAAAAACAAACCGGGATAGCTAAACGTGTTGGCTGGTACAAGCAAAAACTCGGCTTCCTTGAGCCTATCCAGCTTCTTGTAGGTACTACAACATATATAAAAGGTTGCACATATGTCAGCAAGTGACTATTACCATATCCAAATTCACAACCTTTAAGTCCTCCTATCAAAATATTGCCTATTGGTCTAAGAAGCCTGAAATTAGAAAAGCAAAAAAAAACAAATAAACCAAGGACAAAGAAGAGAGAAGAAACCTGAGGATGATGGTTGTAGCGTGGTAAAGAGAGAAGAAGTTGTTATACCTAGGAGAAGAAGAAGAAGAAGAGGATGCGAGATTGTAGGACTATATATGCCTCCTTCTTCGACACGATCGAGGTTTCTCATCAGTCCGTGGTTTCCAAAACGCCATCTTTTTCGCCCAAGAGCTTTTTGGCTTCTTCGGTTTATGTATCGGCTCGTTCTCTCTTATTCATGAAAGTCTACTTGGATCATCGGCGAGCCTCTCTCTCTGTATGAGAATTGCATAAAGAACAAGATGGTTTTTTTCTTCTCTGGTTTTGGTTTCGAAGATGAAGAAAAGAGAATGAGTGATGATGTTGGAGATTGATTAGCCTTCACTTGAGTATTTTATAGGCACAACGTTCTTCGATTTTTTTTTTAAAAAAGGAAACTTTCGATTGTTTCCTTTTTTTTCTTCGACGGTTAATTCTTTTTATTATTTGGAGTTGAGAAAAGAAAAAAAAAATGGATCTCTGAGAACGTTCGAGAGATCTGGATCGTTTATTGAGATCGCACGGTGATAATCTAATCTTAACGGTAAGATTATGTGGGACCGGGACGATCTATTTATCATTATACCTCTCTCTCTCTCTCTCTCGGTCGTTCCAATCAAACACATGTTCATTATGGAGAAGGAAAGAAGAGATGGAGATGATGATTCTGAACCAAATCTCAAGAAACTGTTTATAATGGACATGATGATGTTGGTGTTGGAATCAGACCTTGATTAATACTCAAACTTGAATGAGAAGATTGATGAGAGATTGTGAAGAAAGCAGAGGAGTGTCTTTGGTGAAGAAGAAGCGTCGAGAAGAAAGAAGAAGAAGACTTTTGTTGTTTAACTTAGACTCAAGTGTTAAAAGGCCTTATAGGACCATTAGACTAAGCTATTGGGCCTTTTTAAAACTCGAAAGGCCCATTGAGCTACAAAAATTAGAGAGAGCTAAAAAAAAGAAGAAAAAAGATTCCTCTATCTCCCGTCCGGCGTTAGTCCTTATCCGACGCCGAATTGGGGGAATTAAATAAAAACGATCGTTTGATCTTTGATGAGTTTAAAGGAAAGTCAAACCGTCTCTACTTTTTGATATTCTCCGAAATTCTTCTGATCAACGGTGAGATCTTTTTTTTTTCTCTGATATTGTGTGTATCTGTAATCGATGAATCATCAATAAAATTCTTGATTGGTTGATTGATTATTCATTTATGTTCGGTCAAGGAATCTAAATATCTGCTTTTGGGAATTACTTGACAAAATTTGGACATCTCTGATGCGTTTATTTACTGGGAACTTTTGAGTGTTCATTGTTGGGGTTCAAATGCCTTTTGGTATTCTTCATGATCTCTGTGTCTGTGTTCCGTTGAAGCTCTGTTTTGTGGTGAATTTCAATCTGTAATTTATTATGAGAAGAATATTTTAATCTTACTAACAACTGACATGTTTGGCTTTGTATCTTTTTTTGTTCACAGATAGACACACCCACCCACACACACAATGGATGAATTGCCAGATCATTTGGTTTGGGACATTCTCAGTAAGCTTCATACTACCAATGACAGAAACTCGGTTTCACTATCATGCAGGCGTTTCTATTCCCTAGACAACGACCAAAGATACTCTCTTCGGATCGGTTGCGGTTTAGTTCCTGCAACCGATGCATTGCTTTCTCTCTGCAGGAGGTTTCCAAATCTATCCAAAGTAGAGATTATATACTCAGGTTGGATGTCAAAACTTGGCAAACAGCTTGACGATCAAGGCCTTCTTGTCCTCACCACAAACTGTCTTTCTCTCACCGATCTCACTCTCAGCTACTGCACCTTCATCACCGATGTTGGCATTCGCCATTTGTCATCGTGTCTAGAGCTTTCTTCGTTGAAGTTAAATTTCGCTCCCAGGATCACTGGTTGTGGTGTCTTGTCACTTGCTGTAGGCTGCAAGAAACTCAGGAGACTTCACCTCATTCGATGCCTAAACGTTGCAAGTGTAGAGTGGTTGGAGTATTTCGGAAAGCTTGAAACTTTAGAAGAACTCTGCATTAAAAACTGCAGAGCCATTGGGGAAGGTGATTTGATCAAGCTGAGGAATAGCTGGCGAAAGCTGACAAGTCTGCAGTTTGAGGTTGATGCCAATTACAGGTACATGAAGGTTTATGATCAGTTGGATGTGGAACGGTGGCCGAAACAGTTGGTTCCTTGTGATAGTCTGGTGGAGCTCAGCCTTGGTAACTGCATCATAGCTCCCGGTAGAGGGCTCGCTTGTGTACTGAGAAATTGCAAGAACCTGGAGAAGCTTCATCTGGATATGTGTACCGGTGTCAGCGACTCAGACATCATAGCATTGGTTCAGAAAGCTAAACACCTCAGAAGCATCTCGCTCCGTGTCCCATCCGATTTCACTCTGCCTCTCTTAAACAACATCACCCTAAGATTAACCGATGAAAGCCTCAGCGCCATAGCTCGACACTGCTCAAAGCTCGAATCTTTTAAGATCTCTTTCTCAGACGGTGAATTCCCTTCCCTCTTCTCTTTCACCCTCCAGGGGATAATCACTCTGATCCAGAAATGCCCAGTACGCGAACTTTCTCTTGACCACGTGTGCGTTTTCAACGACATGGGAATGGAGGCTCTATGTTCAGCTCAGAATCTAGAGATCTTAGAGCTTGTCCAATGCCAAGAAGTGAGCGACGAGGGTTTGATTCTGGCGAGCCAGTTTCCTTCTCTCAGTGTATTGAAACTATCAAAATGTCTGGGAGTCACAGACGATGGAATGAGACCACTTGTTGGATCGCACAAGCTAGAGTTGCTTGTGGTCGAAGATTGTCCTCAGGTTTCAAGAAGAGGTGTTCATGGTGCTGCAACGTCTGTATCTTTTAAGCAAGATTTGTCATGGATGTACTGAGATCGCATTATTATTATCTTCCCGTGTACACATACGTTTTTTTACTGCTGTGTAAAATAATCGGTCTTGGGGTCAGACATTTACTAATGCCTCATGACGATCAAGTTTCAGATAATAAAAGGTGTGGTGGGCTCTCATGGAATGATGTAATGTTGTTATAACTTATAACTCTTTGATTTAATGACTGGTTACATAGATATAGCGTCATAAAGTTTTTGACTGATATCTTTCTAATCCATGAACTAATATCAAAGTCATTCTAAAAGATTTTTTTTTGAGATATTTTCCATATTTCGCAATTGTTGTTATACGTCAAAACGCATGTAGTACTTGTTTGATCAGTTAAAGATCTTCTGTTCAACTGGGACTGACTTCATAAGACATTTTAAAGATCTTCTGTCGGTAATATAACTTTTACCATCTCAACCCCAAACTGTTTACATCTTCCCAAAGTATTCATTTCTAAGGTCAATTTCTTCTGAGGTCAAATTTTATGATTGTTTGTCTACTAAGACCACATCTACCTTTGAAACCTGTAATTCTAAATCCTTTTCTAACAGATTTTTAAGATAGTCAACTATGCAGTGACGTTTTATTCTAGCAAGTACTCCATATCTAATAGCTTATTATAATGATTCCTTTGATATTTGCTAATTTTTTTAGCTTAAGAAGTAGTTGAAGCGAAATTGTAAATCAAACAATCGTGTCTGCTGACGCCAGCATAAGTCCAATGAAGGGATCACGCGCCTTACGGAATCAAAACGGAGGTCAATTCGACCAAGTCAAATCGTTTGGACTACGATTTGCCGTTTGATTTAATTTAATGGGCCTATTTCTTTGTCAAGGCCCAACTCATATCGTATGATGCAACTGCAAGAATTGTCATATACATCTTCGCAAAAGAAATTTGTTGCTGTAAATCAGTATGAATTTATGTAAATTGATAACATTTGCGACAACAATAATCCTAGTTTTGAAGAAAATGAAAATCATCTCAGATACACATACAATTATTATGATGACTAATTCAACTTAGGATCAAAATTCTATAATTATTTCCTTGTTCTTCCATGACCAATGTAGTCCATGTCACTTACTTTATTCCAAGATTCGATAATATCAATCAGATGTTTGAAAAATAAATAAAGGGAAGATTAAAATTTAAGAGTCTGTCTACCTCTATTGGAAACAAAAGGTACAAACTTTGTCTTGGCACTGCGAAGGACAGATGCGCATAAATGTAAAAGATTTTACTGTCTCATCGAAATTGACAGCAGTATCTTTTAATTGTCCCACTAAACCAAAATACTTTTACCATAATCTTTTTATAGTCGTATTAATTAGGGAAAAAAAGAAACTTTTCAAATGAATTTACCATTATTATTCCCTTCCTTTTCGAATAGTTATCGTTTTAGAGAAATATTTTTGTTTTTAATTAGTTGTCGTTTTCAGTTTTCGATGCAAAATTTATTACTTTTTTTATTTTTTTTATATTTATTTTTATTATGCAACTTGATTTACTATTAGTTAAATTATGTTTAGGTAGATAATTAATAATATTTTTATATTGAAAAACTAACAACATTAATAGTTTCTTAATTTGTATGCATATAGTTAAAACGACAACTATTCGAAAACGGAGTGAGTAATTAAAACATTCTTTATTTATCCGCATTATAAAATGGTAACGAACCCAACATTTTGCATAGAAGAAGATTTCTCACCTTCATAAAAGAAAGATGGAAAACACCGTTGATGGTCACCGTCTCCAATATTCCGTTCCTTTAAGCTCCATGCATGAAACCCGTCAAAGCTTCGAAACTTACGGGTTATCCAAAGAGACGCCGTTAGTCTGCATGCCCTTCTTCGAAACCAACACTTCGTTTTCTAATGTGTTGTCAACGAAAATACCCTTTAACGGGGCCACTAGTTCATTCGGTATTTCTTCTCTTTTCTCTTCTAACCCAAAACCAGAACCCGAAAACACGCCTAGGGTCATGGACGATTCCATCGCCGCCGTGGTAGGCGAAAATGTTCTTTTCGGTGATAACAACAAAGTCTCTGATCACTTTCCCGCGACGGAGACCACAGGAGGTGGTGTGAAGCGGGGGCGCAAGATGCCGCAGAAGAACGGAGGATTTATGGGAGTGAGAAAACGACCTTGGGGGAGATGGTCGGCGGAGATAAGAGACAGGATAGGGCGGTGCAGACACTGGTTAGGAACGTTCGACACGGCGGAGGAGGCGGCGCGTGCGTATGACGCGGCGGCGAGAAGGCTTAGAGGGACGAAAGCCAAGACCAACTTCGTGATTCCTCCGGTTTTCCCGGAGGAAATAGCTCTGGTTCAGTCGTCTACAACGGAAGAGAATAGGAGGAGGAGGAAGAAGAAAAGGTTGAATGTGAGGAAGTGTGTTAAAGTCACATCGGTTGCACAATTGTTCAGTAATACCAATACCTCAAGTTCTTCTAGTAGTAATGTAAATGTGGTTACTTCTATTGATAATCTTGAAAAAATGGGTCTAGAGCTTGATTTGAAGTTGAGTTTAGGGTTATTTAGAAAGTGATAAATCACTTGTAGTTGAGTAGTTTAAGTTGTTTCATTAGCATTCTGTTGTTTTTTGTTATTCTTGTTGTAGTACGTACTTAATTTTTTTTTTTTTTTTTTTTTTTTTTACGTACTTAATTTTGGTTTTGGTTTTTGGTGAAATGAAACAAGAGGCCATAATCTTGGTCTGTTGGACATAAATCGTAACCTACTGATGTTATCCGTTTGTTTTACTTTTGAAGCATGACTATACATTGGTCTAAAATTAAATGAAACTGACTAAAGTTCCAGTGTCTAAATAAAATATGAATTGTTGGGTCATATAGAGGTAGTTATTAACCTAGGATATAGAAGCTGGGTGCGTGAATCATGGGATCAGTAACTTTTTGATAAATAGTGAACTATATAGGTCTTGTTTCTGCAGAAGAACTTTAGGAACTGGTTATTAGCTACGCTTAGCTGAAACTGAAAGCTACAAAGTTGAGCAAGTAATACTAATAGGGAACTTCTTTGCACATACACTAACACCGTCATCATATATACATCTGTGTATGTAAATACGTCAATGTGTGAACCCAAAAGTTAATTCACTGATTCGGCCCAAAACTGAGAATCCCATGGGCCATTCACTAAGTTACAAAACAAAACGTGATTGCATAGGAGAATTCATTCGACACTAAATCCACGTGCCCATGATCCGTATTCTTATGGTTGTGTCATGAGACGCGTTATATGTATCAGCATAAAACCTTGTTTATCATTACGACCACCATGACTTATAAAAAACCGAATATTTTCGCCATTAAAACGTTTACAGTGGTCAACCGTGATTGTAATTGTAGTAGGAGATTCGATTAATGTGAATTCTTGAGCCATTAGACCACCATGAGCTGATTTAGTTGACAAGTTTTTTTTGTTAAAGTTTACCGAGACATTCTATCGGATTTGCCGGTTTGCTTTTCCCAACTAGGACACGAACTAGGGGGGCTCTAAGACAACACAACCATTTTGGTGGATCCTAGAACTTCGTCACTAGACCAAGTCCAACTCCCACTCGATTAGCTGACAAGGTTTGCTATCAAAAGCATCAATATCGCCCAAGAACATAATATGTCCAGGAGAAAAGGGAGGAAACTCATTCTCCCAGAATTGGTCATCTTCCATCAACAACTCGTTATCATCACATTCTTGGTTCATTATATGGCTCGTGTCGTCTACCATCGTTTCTTGGTGATCATAATACGAGTTGATGCATAAGTGATTCAGGCATGGAAGCTTCCTTGAATTTCTCGAACTGGATCATCTTGGATCCGTATGTGTTATCATCATTAGGCTGTGAAAAAGCAGCAACTTCACACATGTGTTGTCCCACATAAGTGGTTCTATAAACAGTAAGGATTGTCTTTGATCATTTGCACTCGCTGTGTAGCATGACAATTTTGGTCATCCGCATAAGCGCAACGATAGTAACACCTGTGACAATTGCAATCAATGATTATCAATAATTTAGCCTAATCAACCGTGTAGTAGACAAGTGTCCGCCACAAAAACAGAGAAGAAAATTTACTCTGTTTTTATTTTTTTGTACTAATTACTAACCTTTGATAGGAAGAAGTTTTGATCTTTTCTGTCCGTACTTCCTCCAGGAAAAGTTGTCACGGAACGGAGATGAGGACATCTCTATAGTTCTCTAAACCTTCTTCTCCACAACTCTTTCTGCAACATCAAACAATTCAAAAGCTAGGCAACGAGCAAATTGTGTTATATATGGTTTTTCAAAGTCGACATGAATTGACACCTTTTTAACGATTTCGAAAACATGTTTTGAGAAGAAGACTCATGGTGTCGGGAAGTGATGCTCATGAAAAAGGACAGAGCGATGGAGAAAGAATCAAGAACGGTCTCAACGAGAACCTCTGTTTGAAGAGAGCGCGTCTCGTGGTTTTCAAGTTGCATCTTCAGGTGGTTTGCACAATCTTGGCCGTGAAGCAGCGCCTCCACCGTCTTATCAACGCCTGAAAACATTGTTCTCTAGACTTAAAGAACAAGAAGACTGCTTTTTTTGTTTCTTTTTGAGTGTTTGTTTCTTCTATCTGAGTAATAATTTTCGTTATATGTATATACACCTTAAAATGGTTAAGGAAGTTTATTATCATGTGAATGCTTAGCTGTCAGTTTTTGGTGTTTTAATTGGTACGTAAATATAATAATAGGCTGAGTCTCGACAAAAGTAGCTGTTGGTCTTAATTGAGTAAGGAAATACTTTTCCCATTGGCCAAAACTTTTTTTTTTTCTTCTCTCTCTCTGCATGTGTAGTCTCCGGCGGGCGCTGTAGACAATTCGTTAAATTTGTCAAGTAAGTATAAATCTTTATCGGAGATGTTGTTTTTAGTCATGTGATTAAGTCCATTTGACTTTGTTAAAAAAAAAGTATAAATCTTGACTAAGATAATTAAAAATATATCCAATTGTCATAATTTGATTAAAAGTACTTTTCCAGATTGCAATAAATTATAACTATGATATGGCCGGTCGGTTTACGTGTTTTCTTGACTGTTAGTTTAGCTAATAATTAAGAAAACGGCTTATAAAAGTGGAATATTCAACCATGAAGTCCTCTATTCCACAATGCAATGATATGAATCAATTGTATATCAGTTTTTTTTTTTTTTTTCATTCAATTGTATATCAGTTTAGTCAGAGTGATATGAATTATGAAAACAGACACAAACATGGATTCATATAGATTATTTAAGCATCCCCTTTCTTTAGAAACTCACACAGTTTCTCTAATATATTATTTTAATTTATTTTTTTGTTTAAATTTTAATTATTCTAAAAAGATAAACCAATTACATAAATACATGAGTTTCTCAAATAAGATCCTTTCTTCTTCTCTTTTTGGTGGGGATTCACGCTACCACCTTGCTGACATATGTGTAGGCATCCTGTCCTTAGTAGTTGGTCTGTAAGCTTTGGTGTTCGAAATTCGGCATGTTTTTACGTAATATAGATTTGACACTTAAACTCATTTAAAAAAAAATAATAATGATTTTCACTAAAATTTAAAACAAATTTACCACTTAAATTTAAGAAAATAATTAATAACTAAAACTATGTTAATTTCACTATTACTTTTTAAAAATTAGTTTAAGTGTTCAATTTTAAAAACGTCGAAAACTAACTGCGCCTAGGCATACTGTTCTTAGTTGGTCAGTAAGCTTTGATGTTCAAAGTTCGGCATGTTTTCACGTAATATATATTTACCACATAAACTCATTTTTAAATAATAACAGTGATTTTCACTAAAATTTAAAACAAATTTAACACTTAAAATTTAAGAAAATAATTAATAAATTTTAACCAAAACCATGTTAATTTCACTATTACTTTTTAAAAATTAGTTTAAATGCTCAATTTTAAAAACGTCGAAAACTAACCGCGCCAAGGCATCTTGTCCTTAGTAGTTGGTCCGTAAGCTTTGGTGTTCAAAGTTCGGCATGTTTTCACGTAATATAGATTTAACACTTAAATTCATTTTTAAAAAATAATAATGATTTTCACTAAAATTTAATACTTACAAATCATTTTTTAAAAATAAGAATTATTTTCACTAAAATTTAACACTTCAACTTTAAGAAAATAATTTTTTTAACTAAAACCATGTTAATTTCACTATTACGTTTTAAAAATGAGTTTAAATGTTACATTTTAAAAATGTCGAAAACTAACCACGCCTAGGCAACATATCCTTAGTTGGTCCGTAAGGTTTAGTGTTCGAAGTTTGGCATGTTTACACGTAATATAGATTTAACACTTAACTCATTTTAAAAAATAATAATGATTTTTGTGATCCTTAAAATATAACTATTTTTGTCTTATTTTATATTTTCTAAAACTTTCTTTATTATTTACACAAATGATAACAATTATGCAACAAGCCGCGATAAACAACCTAGTTGTTTTAAAAATTGTCACTGATATAAAAATTATACTTCAAAAGACATAATTTTTTTATTAAAAAAATATATTTAAAAGGCCTAAATATTTAAAATAACAATTTTATTATTAAAAGCCAACAGATTGAGTAAGAAAAACTTTGTTTTCATTAATAATGGGCCAAAAATGTTTTTTTAACAAAAAGCTCCTAAATATATTGGGCTGGGGCTGCACACATCATAACACGAATTAATAGTTAGATCTCTAGAGATATTCACAGTCGTCAAATTGCTTCAACTTTAGTCTACTAGCCTAAGCGATGGTTCTAAAAATTGGAGCCTGAATCTTGATCTAACCCTTTCTTCTGTTACTCTTCTTTTTATTTGCATGTATAACATTCCCTGACGCAGAAGAAGAGTTACTGGTGGTCGGCAAGGGCAAGACAGTGGCGTCCTGGACCTCTTTCGTCTCTGAGACTTCACTCTCACCATCCATTTGGGCCATTAGTTTTCCAAGCTGAGAGCGTGAATAACAGATTTAATAGGTGTTTTATTATATAACCAATAACACGGGGGGTTGTATTGTCCATAGATGTTTCTTTACCTGTTCTTCTAAGCCCTCAATCTTTTCATCCTTTACCCGAACTGCCTTCTTCTCCCTAAATCAAAGGGAAGTTTCCATTAATGAAAAATGGAGCCTGGTCTCACAAGCTAGAATAAGCACAATTTCCCATAAGGAGATGATTTACCTTTCCTCCATTTCTGTAATCTTGGTGCTCCATACGTCCTTATTTTTCACAAGATTTTCGTTCAACTACGCATGAGAAAACAACAAGTCAATACTCTACAGAAATGTAATTAGATGTTACTTTGTAAATATGCCATCAAGAAAAACTTTCAAAATGAAAGCTAGATACTCACATCTTCAAGAAATTGCTTCTCTTTTAAACATCTGTCAAACCTGGTCTGCAGCTTCTGCAGTCTCTGGCTTATTGCCTTGCTCCCAGCTTCCGAGACTTTCTGTTCCGTTTCCTCTTTGACATTTTGTAGCAACTTTTCAAAATACTAATGGGCGAGGAAATGATAGAAAATCAAAAAAGAAAATCTTAATCCCTTTGGTAGACAGAATTAACACTTAAATAACGTGAAGCAGACGATGAAAACTTCAAGAGACTGGTAATTATCGAGACAACAAAAGGCGAACATGATAGGTGCTTACTTGTTTTTGATTCTCTAGTTGTGCCTGGAGAAGTTCGTTGTACTCACTAATGATCTGTGGTTTGGATAGAAAAATGACGAGGCACTAAATTAACTTAAGAATACAAAACTTGAACACGAGGATTATAAAAACATGAATCATAAAGCACTACCATGTCCACTTTGCTGTTCAGGAGAGCATCAGTCATTCCACTGTCAGAATATTCACAGCTTCCACAACTATCCTTGCTCAGCCTACCATGAGAATTCAACTCCACTAGCTTGCCATCAGTTTTGGATTGAATAAGCCGATGAACATAATTGTCACCAGCATAATCCCAAACACGTTGTGTTTCAAGCTCAAGTGAATAGCAATGATCTGTCTCCTCCCAGTGCCTTCTGGCATGTCCTTCCTTGTACCTACGGTAAGTATTTGACAAAGCGAAATGGTTAACCTGGGACAGATGAGAAGGAGACATGTCTCTATGGTGATTGCAGGAAATGAAGTCCATACCTTCCGCAGCCAACAACCCCACAGATAACACACATCCAGAGATTTTCCGTTGTTTGGCAAATACAACATACTGAATTTTCAGATTGCTGTTGGCAATATCGACAAACCTGAAAATAAAAACCAACACCCATAAAGATCTGTAAAGAAATATTGAATAAAATTTTAAAAGAGCATGAAAATGATAAAAGAATCTTACTGGGCAAGAAGAATCTGGCCAATTAGAAATACATGAGCAATGGAAGGAATGATTGCACATGGTTGTGAGAATGCCACCTGTGTCTTGGTCCAATCTCTCTAAAACATGAGCATATATTAATATACCGAAACCAAACATAGAGAGATACTGTCAATCTTAATTATTAATACCTATGTTTACACTTTCTAGAGCTAGACTAAGCCATATTTCTGCATAAATTTCAATAATTCAGGCTAAGAAATTACCAAGACAAACTGGGCAAGTAGGTTGCTCTATTGGGCCAGCAGCAGAAGGCTGTGTATGGTCAATGGATCCACTATAACCGGTAAACTGAACATCAAGAGTAAAAAGAAGGTGACAGACATCTTCCTGCATAGAGTTGGCAGCAGGTAATCAGTCACAAAGATACAATTGATTTCATATTCAACGTATATATACATCTAATATAGGTTAACTCAAACAAATACCATACCTCCAGAGAGTTGAATTGTTTCCCTCTAAAATGCTGGTAGAATGTATCGGTAGATTCCTGACTATCGAACCTTATCAAAATGCTGTATCTATTTTCAATGCCATCATTCCTGTAAAGATCAAAAGCCAGAAGTAAACTAACTCATTATCGAGCGAACGAACGATCTACAGTGTCGTTAAGAGAATTTGATCCATACAAGTCAAATCACATCGACATTTCTTTTCTTTTACCTGACCGTTCGCATCTCCAGTATGTGTTGAATGAAGGAGCCGCAGAACTGGCAAAAATCTGCATATGTCATGTGGTTGGGCACCCCAAGAACGCAAACGAGAGGGTTCCTTCCAATCTATAAGACAACAAAACTATTCCAGATTCAATCATATATTTCCGGTGGAAAAATCGATGCAATCAAACCGGAAGAATGAGTAAATCTCAGACGGATCTGAGGAACCTTACAGGGAGATTCAAGGAGGAGGAGGAAGAAGACGACGAAACGGCATCGTCGGAAAATAGATGCATGACCCCGCGAGTCTCGCCGATTCTAGGGTTTCCAGATGAAAAATGAACTGTCTGAGTCATATCGGACATAGACGATTCACCGGAAACGCTTGCCACCGGTGGTAGTACTACCGATTCTTCACCGGCGATTATGGTTGAAGTGGAAGGCATCATCATCTCTTGCCGCCAAAGAAATAAGACGAGTCTCGTGCTTTTTACTACTACGGCGTCGAAACGGAGATCTCTCGTAGTCAATAATACTAGTGTCCAATGATACTCTGACACGTCATTAACTCCACAAGGATATTTATTTTTCAGAAAAAACACCAACGTTTCAATTCGATCAAATAAGTCCCTCTCATAATTTCACATTTTAAAACTCACAGAAAATTTCGCTGATGAAACCGATACTCTTTGGTCTTTGCGTACAACATTTATTCTTGGAAACGAACTCTTTAAAATTTGTACAAATATTAAACAGAAGCTGGAACTTGGGAGTCCACTGACTTCAGAACCTCCTCTCCCATCTCCTTGCAGCCCACCAGTTTCTGATCATACCCCATTCAAAAAGACAAAAAAAGTATTACTATTGTTTATTGTTGCCTGCTTGTTTAAACGTTTCAAACACTAACTTGGGACGTTTTTAGGGAAAAGGAAACATGTTATAAGAGTGGTTCAAGAAACATACTGTTCCTGCGGAGTAAATGTCTCCAGTTCTGAATCCGTTGTTCAGAGCAACCAACACTGCGTCTTCAATTCTCTTGGCTGCCTTTTCTTCTCCAAGTCCGTATTTCAGAAGCATTGCAGCGCTGAGAATGGTTGCCAATGGGTTTGCCTTATCCTGAAAATTCAAACAATCGTCGAGTTGTGCTCTTTATTTTTGAAATCAGGGAAGAAAAGCCGTGTTTGTTTGAAGAATAGAGTTAGAACCTGTCCAGCAATATCAGGTGCAGAACCATGTATAGGTTCAAAGAGTCCAGGTCCCTGTATTAAATATTGCAGGTGGGTTTATGTTCAGACTAGATCATACTGCTGCATTCAGATTATTTTATATCATACCGAATCACTGAGACTAGCAGATGGCAGCATTCCAATGCTTCCTGTGATCATTGAAGCTTCATCGGATAATATATCACCAAAAATGTTGTTTGTGACGATGGTGTCAAACTGTATTTATGAAACAATCAAATCATTGTAAGGATTTACACAAGTCCCACATCAAAGCTGACTAGTTTGGCAAATACATGTACCTGTTTTGGGTCACGGACAAGCTGCATCGCGGCATTGTCAACATACATATGTGACAGCTCAACATCAGGATATTCAGAGGCTAATGCAGTCACTCGTTTTCTCCATAAGATTGAGGCCTGCATAAAAGAAAATCGCATTGGCTTCAGTGTTATATGCGTTCCACGGGAAACAGGATAGAGGAAAACAAGTAAAAGGAAACCTAATTATCAGCCATACTTCCAAGACATTAGCTTTGTCGACAGAACACAGCTTGCCGCGCCGTTTCCGAGCAGTCTCGAAGGCAACACGAGCAATTCTATCAATCTGAGGAACATAAGAAGTGCTTTATTAGATTTGACTGTAGTACTTAAGAATCAGTCGACCGAAATCGACATCTGGGATTTTCAAAACAGTACCTCGTGAGCAGCATAAACCTCAGTATTAAACCCAACTTCCTCGCCATTTTCATTGGTCTTTATGCCCCTTGGCTCTCCAAAGTAAATACCTGTAACCATGAGACATCACACTTTAAGATACTGTCCCATGACAGAACGAGAAAGAGAAGAATTACGATCAGTTTTAATAAACTAATAAAACTGACCTCCTGTAAGCTCCCTTACAACCATTAGATCAACACCTTCTGCTACTTGTCTCTTCAAGGTGGAAGCATCCACTAACTGTATAAAAAAGAAAAATTAGAGTTTCACACAAAGAAACAAAGAAATTTCTGAGGATGGTTACCTGTGGGAGAACTGTAGCAGGTCTCAGATTTGCAAAGACTTTGAGAGCTGCACGAATCTGAAGTAACCCCGTCTCAGGCCTCAGATGTTTTTCATTGTTATCCCACTTGTACCTTAAATTATACCAACATGAAAAATATGAGAAACTGTAATTCCCAAAAAAAATTGAGAGACAACAACAATAGTGGGACAAGAGAGAAGACAGACCCTCCAATGGCTCCAAGAAGCAGTGCATCTGATTCTTTAGCAGCTGCGATGGTCTCCTCCGGCAAAGGAACTCCGACCAAATCCAAAGCAGCTCCACCAATTGGCATCTCGCGGAAGCTAAATTCCACTCCTGATACATATCACAGTCCCCTTTGAATACAATGCCCAGGACAATAAATTCTAACCTCTACAGATATAGGAAATAGAGGATACTAGAATCCCATGTTCCCAATTAATTCCCAGTTCTCACGTATTTCTATTCGATTCAGTAGCGCCAACTTCACACTAGCAGAGAACAGTACATTTGCTCATTGATCTCTCGTTCAATGCCAAAACAAAACAGTGGAACAATGTTAAAAATAAAGGGGAAGAAGAAGAGAGCGAACCTTCCAAGGATCCAGCTTGCTGAAGCACATTTTTGGCAATTGAGACAACCTCCGGACCGATGCCGTCACCGGGAAGGAGAGTGATGTTGTATCGTTTATTCCCAGGGGATGCAACAGCGCATCTTACTCTAAATGGTGCAAATGATTGTTTTTTGACAGCTCTGAACGTTGCCGGAACCTTCACCGGCGGGATATTCGTCTGCAGAGCCGCCGCCATTTCAGGGACAAAGGATTTTGCGTCTTTCTTGTTTCGGTCGGATTTTGAAATTGTGGTGGTACCTGATTGGCTGATACTGTAAGACTTTAGGGCTTTGCATGTATGGGTCCTTTTGCACATTTAATTTATTTTCACAATTAACCCCAAAGTTTTTAATTTTGTAATGGACACCTGACATTACCACATACAACAATTATATCCATTTATTCGTAGAATTACACTCTTCTCTTGCAGCTACTCATTTTTTCTCTCAACAGCGATCCTACGAATATTATATAACTCAAACAAATCATCAGATAGAAACAAACATTGAATTTCTCAATGTCACTCTCTCAACTTTTTTGTTTATAGCTTTTTGCAGCTACCATCAAGGGATCTCAGAATCTCCTCGCCCATTCTGTTGCAACCTACCAATGTCTGTCCAGAAACCACATTGCTCATCCTTAGTGTAACATTTAGTTCGATTTTTACATATTACTGGAACAATCTTCAACTTTATGCCAAGAAAAAAGGAAGAAAGGTCAACTTACAGTTCCACAAGTGTGAATGTCCCTAGTTCTGAATCCACGGTCCAAGACATCAGAAACTGCTTCTTCTATTCTCTTTGCTGCGTTTTCTTCTTTCAATCCGTATCTCAAGAGCATTGCAGCTGATAGAACAGCCGCCATGGGATTCACTGTGTCCTGCAATTCGCAATGTCAACATGTTTATTATATACACATGTGTGGTTTCGCGTCGAGTATCATATACATATGATGGTCCAGAGGCAACCTTTCCGTAGTGCTTAGGCGCAGATCCATGCACAGGTTCGAAAATTCCAGGCCCCTATATCCGTCATAATATGAGAGACATCTAAAATGATCCTTTTAGAAAATGAGATCACTGTAAAGAAAAAGCAAAAATAAAAAGAAGATATGAATCATGCTGCAGCGTACTGAATCACCAAGGGCAGCAGATGGAAGCAATCCTACACTTCCGGGGATCATAGCCGCGAGATCAGACAGAATATCACCAAACATAACCCCAGTCAAAATGGTATCAAACTGCAACATCACAAAGTTAAAATGCAGTTTTGTAAGAATCATTGCAGTCAGACCTGAGGAGCTGGAAAAAATGTTTCAAACTGGACTAGCTTTACTAAAAGAAAACCTGTCTTGGGTGCCGAACAAGATCCATCGCAGCGGTGTCAATCAGCAGATGACTCACTTCAACCTCGGGATACTCTGAAGCCGCCATTGCTGTGACTCTTTTCCTCCACAACATTGATCCCTGCACCCTAAGAAAGTTCAGGAAAAATAACATGGATTCTGGATCTATATCATCATTTTCTAATTCAGCTGGAAGTTTTCTGCAGTTATCAAGAACTTACCTCCAAGATAGTGGCCTTGTCAACAGAACACAGTTTACCGCGCCTTTGCTTAGCAATATCAAATGCAACACGGGCAATGTGATCAACCTAAGCAGAATCAGAAATAAGAATGCTATTGGGCAACTCCTTTACATTAACAAGACGTCAAATACATTTCCAGCAAGATTAAAAGTCTCGTAAATGCGAAAACATGATACCTCACTTGCAGAGTAGGACTCAGTACAAAAGCCAACTTCGTCACCTTGTTCATTTGTGGTAAACCCCCTAGGATGCGCATTGTAAATACCTGTATTCAGCAAAGAAAGACACAATCTTAGATAACCAAAACAATGGAAAAATTATAAAAGCGATAAAAACCAAATTTATATATCTATATGAACACTGATCACTGACCCCCAGTAAGCTCCCGGATGATCAAAAGGTCAACCCCTTCAGCTGTGTCTTTTCTCAGATATGTGGAATCAACCAACTAAGGCATATATCAAAAGTTCAAAACACTATGAAGTAACAGGCTTTGATGAACATAAGCAATGATCTGTGTACCTGTGGTAACACTGTAATCGGTCTTAAATTGGCAAATACTTTAAGAGCCGCACGAAGCTGCAACAAGGCCGTTATCGGCTTCAAATGCTTGGGATTGTTATCCCATTTCGGCCTTCAATTCAAAAATCCAAACTTGAGACGAATCCAACATACAAATATGGTGTGGTGTAGAAAAATTATTTGGAATGAAAGTAACGTTAATACAATACCATCCAACAGCTCCGAGAAGAACAGCGTCTGATTGTTTTGCCCTTGTCAATGTTTCCTCCGGTAATGGAACTCCGACAAGATCTAAAGCAACACCTCCTATAGGCAACTCCTTGAAGCTATAATCTATCCCTGACATATAAAAAAAAACATCACTGTGAATTATGAATCTTACACGATTTCAATTCGAAAATCAGATAAATTAGGCAACAGAATGAGAAAGACGGAACCTTCAAGAGACCCAGCTAAACAAAGAACATCCACAGCGACTGGGATGACTTCGTTACCGACGCCATCGCCGGGAAGCACCGCGATGGTGTACCGTTTCTTCGGAGTGATGGCGGCACATCTGATCACAGACGCTCTTCTCCTAAAGCTCCGTTTGGTTGCGGACATAAACGCAACCGGAATCTGGGTACTGCTGACGTGGACGAATCCCGCCATTTAGTACAACAAAGACTTTGTTTTTCTTCCTACAAGGAGACCTGGAAAGCTATATAGTGGTACCACCTAAAAAACAGACAATTGTCTTAAAATCATAACCAAAAGATTAAAGAAGCGTCTACATGGTTGGTCTTAAAGAAGCCGCTTTAGACTCGTAATCCTGTTATTCACATTGATCCTTTGCATATTGGTTGTTTCCCCTGCCTGTAACTAAAGCCTAAAGCATCCTTCAACTGTACCTAGATAATTTCAGAACAAAAAAAAGAATATTAGAATTCAAAACACAGAGCTGCTGTTCCTATACGTCTATAACAAAACCAATTGAGCTGAGAGAATAGCTAGTCTTTTCACCTGTACACTTCAGTTTGGGCATGCTGCAGCGATTCAAACAATGATTATTATAAGGGAGAATAGAGCCCTTTTCTGTAACAAGGGATCAGTAAAATGAGAATGGACAAATATATCAAAGTAAAAAAGAGATTAGAGATAGAAAGTTTCACCTTTTGGAGGGCATGTAACCTCTCCCACTGGTTTGGTATAAACTTCATTATTGTTTGGATAGAGAGCAACGTATCACTACAAGAAAAACGAAACAATTGTCAAAGAAAATAAACAGTTACAGGCTTAAAGAAACATGTTAAAACCATATTTAACAAGATATTCAAAAATCAAACAAGTAGAAGAAGAAGATGAGATTCATTTATTGGAACTACTTAAACTGCATAAGTGTTGTTGTTAGTGCTATCCACAGACCACAGTTCTAGGATAAATTTCCACAGGCTGGCACTGAATAGCTCGACATCTGATAAAGGATTTATTTATTAGTGAAGGATAAACTTCAAACAGAAGAAAAAAAAAAAAGTAAAGGAGTTTGAGATCACTTACACATCATAATGCATCATCCAAAGAAAGTGAACCATATTCTCCATCTATAGAAGCAACAACAAAACCAAAATCTCTAAGAATAACATTTAGGCTCCATAGGACACAAACTTCAGCACGATTTATCATAAGAATACTCAAATCAGGACCGAGTTAGGGCACTCAATAGAACGAAACAAACATTTAAAACAAAAAGATTCACACCAAAATCGTTTCAAATCACTCAGTCAATAATCAAATCGATTCATAGGATTCAGAAGAAGGCCAAACAATACCTCTGCTTTGTTCATGTATGTATGTATGTTTGCCCTCGTCGCCATTATAACGCTCTATCTCTTAAGATTCTTTCTCTTCGTTGTTCATATATGTTTGCTTCCGTCGCCATTAGAACGCGCACTCTTTACTCTTTTTCTCTTGGTGAAGAAATATGAGAGACCTCTTCGTATATAGAGGACCCAACGGGTTAAACAGAAAAACAATTTATATTTTGGGAGCTCTCATTCATAGCCATTGGATGCACATAGATTTTAGATCTAACGGTGAATAGAGAATTCCCAGCCGTTAATAAAAAAAGGAAATAAATGATCTTAATGAGATTTGGAAATATCTAACGAAAAAGGAAAACAACAACGCTTTTTCCTTTTTTCTTAAAACCACGCGCTTCACGCGCACTTTACCAAATAAAGAAACTATGATTAATGGATATCTGAGACAAAATTAGTTTAATGTAAAACAAAATTACACAAATTAGTTTTTTAATGACATATGGGCCTATAAGAGAGATCCGTACGTATTAAAGATCGGCCCAATTGTCTAAATATTAAAAACTCCAAGTCCAACGGGTAATCAGGTCAGATTTTCAAATGGGTTTCGGGTCAAAATCCGCCCGTTAATTGCCGTTAGATGAACCCTAATTTCGTCCGTACAGAGCGGAGAGGGGAAATAAAAGAATGCTTTTGTTGCGGCGATTCAATCGAGTTCGGATTGCTTCTCCTTGCTCCGTTCGGCTTCTGTCTGTAAAACCCATTTCCAGTGTTGATGATGAGAAGCAGCTTCGATGTCAGGATCAGTCCAGTTACGATCAGAAAACAGTATGCGAAGCGCTCTCATGTTACATCAACGATTGGCAAAAGGCGTTGGAGTTTTTCAACTGGGTCGAGAAAGAATCCGGATTCAGACATACCACCGAGACATTCAATCGGATGATCGATATTCTGGGTAAGTATTTCGAGTTTGAAACTTGTTGGGCTTTGATTAACCGCATGATCGGAAACCCGGAATCTCTGCCGAATCACGTCACGTTCCGTATAGTCTTTAAGCGTTATGTGACGGCTCATCTTGTTCAGGAGGCTATTGATGCGTATGATAAATTGGATGATTTCAATTTGAGAGATGATACATCTTTCTATAATCTGGTCGATGCGCTTTGCGAGCATAAACATGTGGTTGAAGCTGAAGAGCTTTGTTTTGGGAAGAATGTGATTGCTCATGGTTTTAGTGTTAGTAATACTAAGATCCACAATCTGATTCTTCGTGGGTGGTCGAAATTGGGATGGTGGGGTAAATGCAAGGAGTATTGGGACAAGATGGATACTGAAGGTGTACCTAAGGATCTGTTTTCGTACTCTATTTACATGGATATCATGTGCAAGAGCGGTAAACCGTGGAAAGCTGTGAAATTGTATAAGGAAATGAAGAGTAGAAGGATCAAACTTGATGTGGTTGCGTATAACACTGTCATTCGGGCCATTGGAGCGTCGCAAGGTGTTGAATTCGGTATCAGGGTGTTTCGGGAGATGAGGGAAAGAGGTTGTGAACCTAATGTTGCCACTCATAACACAATCATTAAGCTTCTATGTGAAGATGGGAGGATGAGGGACGCGTATCGGATGCTTGATGAGATGCCTAAGAAAGGTTGTCAACCCGATTCGATTTCTTACATGTGTCTCTTTTCACGTTTGGAGAAACCGAGTGAGATCCTAAGTCTGTTTGGTAGGATGATAAGGAGTGGAGTGAGGCCAAAAATGGATACTTATGTGATGCTAATGAGGAAGTTTGAGAGATGGGGATTTCTGCAGCCGGTTTTATATGTGTGGAAGACAATGAAAGAGTCTGGGGATACTCCTGATTCAGCGGCATATAATGCTGTGATTGATGCGTTGATTCAGAAAGGAATGTTGGATATGGCTAGGGAATATGAGGAGGAAATGATCGAAAGAGGGCTATCTCCAAGAAGAAGGCCTGAGTTGGTAGAAAAGTCCTTGGACGAAACGCTTGTTTGTAGATAATAGATAACTCCATTGAAGAAACATTTTGGTTATGTGTTCAAAACAGACATGAAGCAATAGAGGAGCTTCTGCTGCTGCTTCCTGTCTTGATATCAAGAAGCCTCCTTTGGTTGAAGAAATGTCCCCAAGGTGTACCATCATTTCCATAAAGTGCCTGTGTTTCAACTCAAAACTGAAGAGAAAACACTGAGGTTCATTGAGAGGATTTTGAGGAATTTGGTGGTGTTGTGTGTCTCAAGCCAAAATCCGAATATTTGGTTTTGGAAGATGGTTTGTCGCCTCCTAAGGATATTTTGTATTCTACATAGACGTACACGTACCATTTGTAATTCACTCTCCAACTTAATTTTTTTTGGTATGTAGTCATATAGTATTAACATTGACCTCACACGTGTAATGTAAAAATCATTAAGCAAAGAAAATAAAGAGGTGTAGCACAATAAGTAAACCCGAAAGAACTTTCTCAGAAATACATATATACATGAATGATGTTAATATAGACGCTTTTAACAACGATGCATTAGTTAATTACCTTGAAATTCAGAGACGACTGAATTTTGGATGTTTATCTTTTAGTCCCTTTAGACCTTGAAATTCCAAGGATTCTCGTTGTTCATTGGTTTTATCTCTGCAAGGGTTTCGAGTTTCGTTGTTCATTGGTTTTATAACTATATATATATATAGTTATATACATAAATAAATAATATGAGCTTGAAACGATTTTATTGTAAATTGGATTTTTTTCAACTAAAGAATACGACGTTAAATCTTAACTTACTTTTGTAAAGATATGCAGACATGATGTAACCATTTTATAAAAAAACTTTAATTTTCTTAATTACGTATTTTTCTTTAAAAAAGGCCAAGACAAAAGCAGGAAAAGTTGGTACCAGACGATCATAAATGCAATTTTCCGTTACAAAAATATTACTATAGTAGTAGCTCTCAATTCAGTATTGGTAATTAATGCCATTCTGCGTTTCTTCTTGTATTCCTCCAGTGTCGACGCTGAATATAAAGTATTTACCAAATTCATCTCAATTTTATTGTATAAATCGGTTTATAAGGGTAATGTAATTAATCGGATTCTTTCCTATAGACTAAAGTGGATTTACTAGGAAGAGAAACCGCGTGGAGTTTTTATTTATTTATGTTTTCTTTTCGCTTACAGATGAAATTTATTTGAGGTCACAGGCTCACAGCCAATAAGAAGAGTTTAAAAAGTACTCCACGCGGTTAAAACAAAAACAGAATAACAATGGATGTAAAAAATTCTGAAAGATAAAAATTGAAAATTCTATAATAAGGGAACAGTATCGTTTCATCTTCTTTCCCCATGATTTTCTGAAGAATTAAAAGATTCTTATTCATACGTTTGATAGATAAACCCTTTTTTGGAGTTTCAGAAATTAGAAACCAAAAAAAAAAAAAAACAAGAAAAACAGTAATAATGATTTATACCGAAACGCCGTCGTATCATGGTCGCCGGCGTCTCCTCCTGGTCGCCGTTGGACTTTTGATCTCGTCGAGCTTGGTTTCTTTCTCTCATGGAGTTTCTTCTTCTTGTCATCATCGTCCATCCTCTACCTCATTTCAAGGTAAAAAGTTTGGTTCCTTTTTCCATACTTTAAAAATCAGAGAAAACCCCTTTTTCTTATGAATACAAATTTGACAAAAATGGCTTTCGATTACAAACAATATGTATATTTTTTGTTTTTTCTTTTACAAATTTAAGAAAATGATTTTAGGAGTAAGGAGACAAATTTTGGAAGGAGGGAATGGGACATTGGTGTTAGCGGCGGAGAGGACACGGCGGCCTGACCCCCTCAACCATTTCAATATTTACGTCGATGGTTGGAACGTTACCAATACTCATTACATCGCCGTGAGTCTTCTTTAATTGATTTCAATATTCAAAATGTCAAAACTAACAGCCGCTATATTGATCACATGAAATCCTTCAAACCCCTTATATTTCTCAAGGATTATTGTTTTGTCTTTTTTCAGTCCGTTGGATTTTCTGCAGTTCCATTCATAGTTATAGCAATCTCGTGGTTCGTATTGCTCGGACTCTTTCTCATCTGCTCATGCCTCTGTTGTTGCTGCTGTGGCTGTGGCCGCCGGAACTACGGCTACTCTCGCGTCTGCTACACTCTTTCTCTCGTCTTCCTCCTCCTCTTCACCGTAGCCGCCGTGTAAGCTCCCATCAAATTACTTATGAACTTCAAATCTCCATAATCTTAGATTACTAATTTGGAAACGATGTCGTTTATCTTCAGGATTGGGTCTGCAATGCTGTACACTGGGCAAAACGAGTTCTACGGTAGCGTGGAGAGGACGTTTATGTACATTGTGAAACAAGCAACTGGAGTTTTGACTAAGCTAACGAGCTTATGGGACTCAATTCAATCTGCTAAAGACATTCAGCTCGATGGACATAACCTGTTTCCTCCCGAGTTTAGAGGTAACATCGATCATTTCAACAACATGATCAAGATGTCTAACATCACTTACCCCGATCGTGTCGCTAACCAGACTATTCGTTACCTCACCGGAGCACTAAACCCTGTGTAAGTATGAATTAGACAAATGACTTGCATCACAAGCTAAATATATATATAAGCTCTGTTTTGTTGATTTGCCTCAACCTCGTTTTCATCAGGAGATACGTGTTAAATGTGATCGCTGGTGTTATGCTCGCAGTCGCATTCCTCGGCCTCTGTAAGCCCCAAATCAATATTTATATTTCGATCTGAAGATACATAATGATCTCATTATTTTTTTCTTTCGAAACAGTGTTTTCGTTCTGTGGACTGCGAGTTCTTGTCTACCTGTGAGTTACACTTAGACTAAGTTGTTATATTATATCATATCCAAATCAAATGTTTATAATCGGTATTTCAATTATATCAGATTGGTAATTCTGGGTTGGATTCTCGTCACAGCCACTATCCTCCTCAGCGCCGTTTTCCTTGTCTTCCACAAGTAATGACATTTCGTCGTCACTTGATCTAATTCAAGATTCAAAGTTTATTGTTGTTAAGTTTTTATCAAACTAATGATGTTACTTGATAAACCAGTGTGGTTGCGGACACGTGTATGGCTATGGACCAATGGGTGCATGACCCAGCGGCAGACTCAGCATTGAGCCAACTTCTTCCATGTTTAGATCCTAAAACCATTGGAGAGACATTGGATATAACGAAGACGATGACTGCTACGGCCGTCGACATGACCAATGCGTACACGGTCAATGTCAGCAACCATGATCAGTTCCCACCTAACGTCCCTTTCTACCACAACCAGTCTGGTCCGCTTGTTCCTCTCCTCTGTAACCCACTCGACCAAAATCACAACCCGCGACCTTGTGCTCCGGACGAAGTCCTATTAGCCAATGCTTCTCAGGTACATACATACATATAAACTAAAACACATTCTCATGAGTGATATACATATGTTAAAATGTTAACGTTAATTCGATTTATATGTTTTGGTAAATAGGTTTATAAAGGCTATGTGTGCCAAGTGAACGCAGAAGGAATCTGCACAACGCAGGGGAGGTTAACCCCAGCTTCATACGACCAGATGATGGGTGCGATCAACGTGGCGTTCACGTTGGACCATTATGGTCCCTTCTTGGCTAGTATTGCGGACTGTACTTTCGTCAGAGACACCTTCAGAGACATAACCACCAAGAACTGCCCTGGACTCAGCATTACCAGTCAGTGGATCTACGCAGGACTTGCGTCACTCTCTGGTGCAGTCATGTTCTCACTCATCTTCTGGTTGATTTTTGTCAGGGAAAGACGTCACCGATCTCAAACCAAAAAGTCTATGATCCAGATGAATAGATTTTAATTTTTGGAGCCAGCCCATTAAAGAGTCAGCCCATATTATCACCCTTTTTTTTTTTTTTTTGTTGGAAACGTTAATGATATGGTTTTTAAAATAAATTCGTATAGAAAGAATTCGTCTGATCTTTTATATGTTTACTAAGTTTGTTCTAGAAGGTGGAAAATCTATATAAATCAACAACCAATTTAGGATACTAACTTCACTAGATAGCTATAATATTTCCGATGTTTTTTTCTTTTTGCTGGCTTAGAAAATATAAATTATTACTTTTTCTTTTAGATAAGTCTCTACTTGTATCATTATTTTTACTAATTTCATTCTCTGAGAGTATGAGGTGAGAACAAATGTTGAACACTAGAATTTAACCACCCGCGGTATACCGCGGGGCTATATTTTTTTAAAAAATGTAATGTTATTTTTTAAAAGATTAACTGAAGATATATCATATTAATTTGTATTTTTAAATGTAGATATCTATCTATCAATTTTTGAAGTATAGATACGAAAACATACATTTTTTTAAAAGTAACGATGTATAGTGGATTTTAAAATTTTGAATATTTTACTCAGCAGTATACCGTGGGTCGTTTTTTTATAACTAAAAATTTTAAATTTAAGTTGGATTTGTTTTGTTAATATTGTTTCTTTTGTTTTGTGTTTAAGATTGTATAATTATATTTTGATTGTTAATTTTAGGATTTCATCCGTGATATACCGTTATTTATTTATATCGACCCAAACCCGTCATCCCATATAAACCCGTCTATATTATCTCGTTAGCTAAATTATTTGTATTATAAAATCCAAGAAAATAAATTATTATTGTTATAAAATCTAATAATTTTAGGATCTCACCCGTAGTATACCGTTCTTTGAACGATTTTAAATTTATACTACTAATATATATTTTAAATTTATCATATAAAGTATATGATTTCAAGTTTTTGTGTTTTTTATTTATTTAAATAAAGCAACAGCTTAAGGGCCTGATTGGTAACAGCTGTAGCTTTACATTTTTTGCTGTAGAAATATGACTGTAGGTTTATTTGCTGTGGCTGTAGATTTTATTGCTGTAGAATTTTGGCTGTAGAATTTAAAATTTTGGAAAGTTGAAAATTATGTGTTTTAGGAAAAAATGCTTTCTACAGCCAAAAAAGTGAATTAAGGAAATATTTTGGCTGTGAGAAAAAAAAGGAAAGCTAAAGCTTCTAAAGCTTGATTGGATGTATTTCAAATCTTTAGAAATTTTTTTGCTTTGTAAAGACTGTAAAGCACTTGCCAATCAGGCCCTAAATGATGATAGATATAGTTCTTTTTCCTGTATGTGTATTTGATTTTTCTATGTGAATATTTTGATTATTATAAATTAGTATTTTTATTGCTATGCAAAATGTTAATATAAATATTTGCTATAATTTTTTTTGAAGATATATAGAAAGATTGTGTAGAGATTTTTAGAAACAAATTAGGCAAGATATTATTTGGTTAATATCTTTTATTTAAATTTTGTAAAAGTAATAATAAATGCCAATGACATTCTTTGTAAATACTGTCCAACTTCAAGATTTATTTGCTAAAAGTGTTCCAAAAATGTATATATAGATTCTAAGGTACATGAGTAGGGTTTTCAATAAAGCAAAACCATTAAATTTGGGAAGGAAAAACGTCGTCGTTGGACCCCAAACTAAATGTAATTAGTAATTACGACGACTCGTTGGGCTAGGCACCACCATGCCTTTATTGCGCTATTTGTGAAATTCTGACGTGTCTGATTGCTATTTGTGCCGCGAGGCCGGTGCAGAACCAGGTGTCCCTGCCGTTTCGACTTTCTAAATTATTGTTTCTTTTCGTCCCGTAGTCGAAGTAGGTAAGATTTTGGCGTATTAGTTAGGGTCCATATTAGCAGTCAAAACAAAACAAAAAAGTTAGGCTCCCTCTCTTTAATTTATTTTTGTGCACCAATAATCCTATAATTGTTGGTTTTTTGACTCGATGCGAATCTTCCTCGGAGGGATCCTAATACATGCATGGGATACTAAAAACATTAGAGAGTATTCAAATTATTGAGAAACGTTAAGATCTATGCCAATACCAAAGTCATGTATCTGGCGGTCCACGCGGGACGAAGTCACAGTCAAATGACCTCACGTGTTTCAAGCACAAAATCTTTAACACAACAACAATTTCTTCTGTTTTTTTTTTTTTTTTTGTTAATAAAACAACAATTTCTTCTGTTTTGCTTACATATTTGTACAATAAGATAAATTTTCAAATTAAGCCAAAAAATAACCGAAAGTGTATGATTGGTTAGTGCTTTTTATAACTGTAGAGTTTTAGACAAAAAAAAAAAGTAGAATATGAACAAAATAAAAACATAGGATTTTTGTCATTAGTTGTGAAAAGAGATAATACTATGAATATTCTTCTCTATAGAGTAGTAGAGACCCACTCGCCATTCATAAAGAGTTTATTAATATGATTAGTTTCAAAAGTAATGCGAATCACGCTTTTTATCCTCGAGTTTTTTTTTTTAAATATGAAATTATAACGTATGCTTTAAATACGTTTGAATTTTTAAGAAAAAGATTATAAAATGTATGACGTAATTTTGAAGATGTTGTCCTACTTTAAATAAGAACACACTAAACAAAAGAGAGAGTGAGTGATTCATCTCCTCTGTTCATTACTTTTAAAGCAAAGCACTTTTTCTAAAATCCCAGAAGAGAAGAGACGAGAGATAGTGATAGATCGGAGATGACGAAGCTGGCAGAAAAATCTGGAAGCAGACCACCGTGGGTGGGATTAGCGGCAGCCGCATGGGTTCAGGTGTCGGCGGGAAGTGGTTCGACGTTCCCGCTATACTCCTCCGCTCTCAAATCGGTTTTGGGTTTTAGCCAGCAACAGGTCACGATCCTTGGCGTCGCTTGTGATTTGGGCGAAAACATGGGTCTACTTCCGGGATACGCCAGTAACAAGCTTCCTCCATGGTCGATGCTTCTCATCGGAGCTTCCTCTTGTTTCCTCGGCTTCGGCGTTCTTTGGCTCTCCGTCAGCCAAATCGTTCATGGTTTACCTTTCTGGCTGGTAACAATTTCTATTTTTGGGGATTTTCTGGTTATCATAAACCCTAGATTGCACCGAATGCTTAATCAAGTTAAGATCTTGCGGTTTTGTTAATTGCCTTTTACTATTATAAGTTGTGTCATCGATTAGATTTCTATTGTTTCGTTGATCATTCAACTCACAAGATTAGTATTTGTTTTTGTAATGTTGTTGACAGCTTTTTATAGCTCTAGCTTTAGCTACCAATAGCAACTCATGGTTCGGTACAGCATCTCTTGTCACCAATATGAGGAATTTTCCTATGAGCCGAGGCCCTGTGGCTGGACTTCTCAAAGGTTATATTGGGATCAGTGGTGCTGCATTCACTGTCTTGTTCAGCATGGTGCTTCATCATTCAGCTACGAATCTGCTTCTGTTTCTTACTGTTGGTATTCCGGTGATATGCTTAACTGTCATGTATTTCATCCGCCCCTGTATCCCGGCTACTGGTGAAGACCCTTCTGAGCCCATGTATTTCGCTTTTCTGCTTGCCACAAGTATACTTTTTGCTGCTTACCTTGTTGTGACGACTGTTGTGAGTGAGGTGTTTATTCTGCCAAGCATACTCAAATATGTTCTTGTGGCTATCATGGTGTTACTTTTGTTGTCGCCTCTTGCGGTTCCCATCAAGATGACACTTTTCCGTTCAAATGCCAAGAGCTCCCCACTGGGGTCTTCAGACAGTCTAGCCAAAGAGGAAGGTACCCATGAAGAACCGTTGCTTACACCTTCTACCTCAGCGTCAAACCTTGGGCCTATCTTTGAGGGAGATGATGAGTCGGATATGGAAATACTTCTCGCTGAAGGAGAAGGTGCGGTGAAGAAGAAGAGAAAACCCAGGAGAGGTGAGGATTTCAAGCTTGGCCAAGTTTTTGTCAAGGCAGATTTCTGGCTCCTTTGGTTTGTCTACTTCCTCGGCATGGGTTCAGGTGTTACAGTCTCAAACAATTTGGCACAGATCGGATTTGCTTTTGGTATTAAGGACACAACAATACTCCTCTGTCTCTTCAGTTTCTTCAACTTCATAGGCCGTCTTGCTTCAGGTGCCATTTCGGAACACTTTGTGAGGTACTAATCTTTCTCCGTCTATCACTCTAAACAATCTCTCTGAACTCTCTCATACGATTCTCCTATTTGTCTCTCAGGTCAAGAACGCTTCCAAGAACAATATGGATGGGAGCCGCACAGCTAGTTATGGTGTTCACGTTCCTCCTCTTTGCCATGGCTATCGACCACACCATGTCCATATACGTTGCAACTGCTCTAATTGGGATAGGCATGGGGTTTCAGTTCTTATCTATCTCAACCATCTCGGAGCTATTTGGTCTCAGACATTTTGGAATCAACTTCAACTTCATACTCCTGGGAAACCCGCTCGGTGCCACCATTTTCTCGGCCTTTCTCGCCGGATACATCTATGACAAGGAGGCTGATAAGCAAGGGAATATGACCTGCATTGGTCCTGACTGCTTTCGAGTAACTTTCTTGGTTCTAGCCGGTGTTTGTGGGCTTGGAACTTTACTGAGCGTTATTTTGACAGTGAGAATTCGCCCGGTTTATCAAGCCCTCTATGCGTCTGGCTCATTCCGGTTGCAGCCGCAATCAGCGGGTCATTGATATATCCAGAGAGACTGTTTAGATGAAAGAAGGTACTATAATATAAATACACTCATAGATGCTATCTACTTTTCATTATTATTATTATAGGCTCCTACTGTATCACGCGGCATTTTTGTTTGGGTGTATTCTAAGAAATGTAACTCTCTGTTATTCAGCTGTAACCGGCCAAAAACCGGTTGGAAGAACCTATTTGTATCGGCTTCTTGCTGAGGTTGTATGGTTGTTCGTGTCTACTGTTTGATGTTTGTATTACAGTCACTGATCCAACTTATAACCTAAAAAGCGTAGACAACTGACACAAACAAATAAAACAGCTTTGTCTTTTCTAAAAGTGCAATGAAAAATTTAGATTTCCTTACAACATACATGAATTTTTCTAACAAAAAGTAATGAAAGAGTTGGACCAAAGCCAATAAAAAAAAAAAAAAGGCAAATAAAAGGAGACAGAGAATCATTCCAAATCTCAAAAATGTCAATTAACAAAACTAATTGGCCTAACAAACAGAACTTGAAACTATTTAGCCAAAAACTCAAATAATCAAATCTGTGGTGGAAGAAGCCTAAAAATCCCAAATCCCTAGTTGATGATTTCAAGTAGGTTTAAGGTTCTGAAACATTGAATCCCACTTAATGGCTTCTACATCTTTGTTCCCCCAATGAGTAGTATTATCATCTTCATAATCGAGCCTATAAGGAGTTCCATTCGTCAACAGAAGTCTCTCTTCCTTTCCGCCATTCCCGTTGCTCATCGGCATCACCGATCTCTTCTTCCTCGCGCCTTTCCATCTCCCGTTCCCGCTGCTCCTCGACACAAGCACCAGAGCCCGAGACGATTCCTCTCGTCGGATCCAGGATCGAACATACTCGGAGAAGCATTTCCCGGTCTTCTTGATCGCAATCAAGACTCTGAAAATTGAACGAGCGGTGAGCGGAGACGGTTTCCGGTCACGCCGAGCAAGCTTCAGGATCTCGAGGCGGTGCTTAGCGATCGAGATCCCCATGCTCTGGAGAAATTCGTGGTTGAAGTAAGCAATGTCTTCGAACTCGAGCTCGTTGTTCGAGAAAGAGAGACCGTACTCGTAGATTAGAGAAGCTTCGAGATTCGTCCTCGAGAGCCATGAGAACCAATCCATTGTTTATGAGATTTTCGAATCTGTTGGTTTGGAGTAATAATATATAAAGGAGCGAGACGGTTTGGGGTTGTTTTTGACTTTTTCAAAAGTTACGAGGCTTGCTTGGTAAGGTGGGTGAACGGATGGACTAAAGTGGACCAAAGTGAAAATAAGAAAATGATAGAGAAGTTCACACACACATCTTTTTAGCATTGAAGAAAAATGAACACATGGAATGGAGATGTGGGTGTGTCCATTAATCACGCTGTGGGGAAATGGAGTGCATTATGTATGCTTTTTTTGGGGATCACTATCTCTATCATCTTTTGTTCCATTTACTTTTCAAAAACCGAACATATTAATTACGGTAATAAACTTGCTTCTTAACAAAAAAAGCCAACATAAATTTTGCCTTGGATTGTAATATGTTTTCGCTTTAAACGGAAAAGAAAAAGATAAATGAGAGCGGCTCATTTACTCGATTTTAAAACACATGCAATGAAGTTTACCGTGACACCAAAATGATTACAAGAAAATAAATAAATATCATTCTGATGGCCATATATATTATACATATATTATAGTATTATAGGCATCGTCCGCTGTCTACGTGATCAAATTAATTAAAAAATGTTACTTCTTTTTATTAAGTTAGATCAATGCCTTCTCTTCGCTACCGGATTAATTAACTAAATAGTTAGTATTATCTTCGTAGTTAGGTCAACTAATGATAACAAAAAAAAAACTACTATGAAACTTAAAATTCAGCTTCTGTAGTCAACTATTAATATATTTTTTTTAATCCGTGGATATAAATACATTACTTTTTTTTGTTATTTTATTACTTAAGTCAATGAACACAAATCCAATTTTTTTATGATTATCCTCAGCTTTTCTAATCAAGGAGGAAGATAAATTATTGAGCTTTTAAGAGACTATACAAGCCATTATTATCGAGTGCTGTGATAACAAAGACATCAACACGAGTATTAGTGGATGCAATCATGCAAATTTCCATCTATCACAATCAGCATATAATATTTGATAAATATTTATACACTTAGAAGCTTATAGTTCATATAAATTAATATAGATCAAATGGAAAACACGATTGGTGATCACGGGTCATGCGCATGTGGACTTTAAAAGTAATGTTCATATGCACTTACCAGCCACTAGCTTCCACTTCCATTTTCGGTTTGGCCACATTGTATTTTGTCTACTGACTTATAGGATTAGGAGATATACCATGTAAGAAGAAAATAATCCAAGACTAACAACTGAATCAGAAGATTTGCTTAAAAGAAATCCGAGGCAAAGTCGTTGGATCAACATATAATTTTATACTCCAGGCCCCACGGTGATCAAAGTTATACCATTTTCAAAAGTCACGGATCAGAGGTGTATTGAAGTTGGGTATTAGATCTTTAGTGATAACCTTTGAGTCCAACTTAAGTTTCGTTACTTTGCTTTCATTTCAATAGTACATCAATCCGAAACATTCTAATCACCACTTTAATATATTCACTGGTTATTTCCGGTACCTAATTCTGGTTTAAAGTAGACCAACTCGGTTTCAAACTACATTCACCAGTCCCCAAACGATCCAAGGAAACGTACAAGAAAAAATATATATGAATCGCAGCCAAAAAAAGGAGTTAAATCAACTAAGAAAAACAGAAAAAATGCGTATATATTATAATATCATAAGAATCAGGTGTCTGTATACATATAATTCACAAACCAGAAATCTTTACGCTTAGCCTGAACAAACGCCATTGATCGACATCCTTAAGGTGCATGTAACAGTCGCTGAAGATTTCCGGTTCGGTATTGGACCGAGAATCTCTGATTGTATAAATCTACAAGATCCTGAAAAACACTGCTATAAAGTATCAATCTGATTTGCTCTCGAGGCTGTATATGTTGCCAATGGTTCCAACAATACTAACCACTACGGCCAAGATTAGCATCAGCCATGACACTGATCTTTCCACGAAGCTTAACGAATTGCTCTGTTTCCCTAACCGTAATGCGATAAGAGCAGGGAATGTAAAACCAAGCGAAACCGCTGATGTTGCACCTGTGAATTTGAAAGCAGTCCATATGTTTGGGATCATCGTCGAGCCAATGTAAATAAGAGCCAGCAAGACCACTGTGAGTCCCAAAGATCTCTTTTTGCTTTCGGATAGAGGAGGCGAGCCTCCAAACAGTAAGGTATTGACGGTTTCTCTCAAGGAGAAATGGATCACGGGGAAGACAAGAACTAGATGAAGAATGTAGCCGATTCTGACAATGTAATTCACCGCAGAGCTGAACCGGATACCGAGATCTTGGTCAAAGTTGGTCAAGATATCTGATTCGGTGTCCTTGCCAAAGAGGAGATAACCCGATATAGCAGTTGAAGCGTAGACAACAACACAAATCGCTGTTGTGATTCTCCCAACTCGGTTCATCTTATGCGGTGATCGACCTTCTAACTCGTTGTATATCGGCTGAACATTGAAGTGACAAACGTATGCATTTGACATAATCGGAATGACCACAAGAAGATCCAAGATCGCTTGTTTGGAACCAAAATCAGGACTCATCCTTGGAGGGTCGATAGTTCCTTGGATAAGCTTGATCGTGGCGACAACAAAACAGACAACCACAAAGACAACAGCAAGAGCAACAGAAGCAGCAGATGTAACGCTCAAGGAATCAATCTTGTTCAAAGCACAGAGAGGAGCCAAGAAGATGACCATAACAATCAAAACCAAAACTTTGCGGTGATCCCAGAATCCATTCCCTAACCATTGATCCAAAACCCCAATGTGATGAAGAGAACCAGACATAACATCGCCCATTATAATCAAGTAAACAACGAGAACGCCACCATTGTTGACAATGATACAAATCTCAGACAAAACCCTAGCGGTTTTCCCCAAAGCGAATTGAACAACCTCGCCGTAAGATTTGGACTTGTAAAGAACTGAAAATCTAATCAAAAGCTCAACACTAATCTCAGACAAAATAGCCATGAGGATAATCAAAAGAAACCCTAGAACCAAGCCGAGAACCTTCATGGTGGCGGGCAATGCCATGATACCGGCGCCGATAATAGAAGTGGTGAGATTAAAAACGGCACCGTAGATCCCAGATCCTTGATTGGATGATTTGCCATGAACGAGGGAGTAATCAGCGACATCGAAATCGAGATCATCACCATCTTCACCGCCAACACCATTACGGGTATCGTCAAAATCGTTAACGAAGCTTTCTTCATCAGAAGGAAGCAACTTGTTTCTGGGTTTTCCATTATTCGTCGGTTTCTGTAACTCAACGTAAGAAGTTTTGGAAATCACAGAGTAACTGCTATCCATTCGCCAGATCTGATGATATAAACGTCCCCTCTGGTTTTTTTTTTTTTTTTTTTTTAAAGAAGAATATAAATAAACTTACAGATAATCCGAGATCGAAGCAGACGAAAGAAGAGACTTTTATTTTTCTACGAGATGGAGTGAGAGAGAGAGAAGATTGTTCAAAAAATCAAATCGGATTAAGGGTCAACGTCTCAATCGGTCGTCCTTCCTGCCTCGTCGGCGAGCGATAGAGAGAGAGAGAGATTAGTTTTGTTTTGGGAGGAAAGAGGAAACTTGTATCTTCCTATTGGTGCTTTTACTTCACACGTGGCTTCTTTTTTAACTTCAATAAAGTACCTTATTAATTGCGGATTAGCATTTTTAAGTGTTTCACATTTACTTATGTTAGGCGTTGTTTAGAAAGAGACATGTTGCTTGTTTTCCCATAGATTCTGAGGAAAAGTCTCTCTTTTCTTTATAATAACCACCAAAGATTCCATCGCTCATACTAAACAAGGAATCCCAAAATGTTGCTTGCAAGTTAGAAATAACAGAAATCCAGGCACTCAAAAAGAAAACACAAACAATTTGATTGGGAACTATGCGATAAGGATACAAGAGAAAATTGGGCATTGGACCTCATCCACCAAATGCAAACAGAATCTCCGTCTTCTCTACAGATACTTTCTTGCCAGTGCACGTACTTTAGTGTCAAAATGTGACGACGTAATCCGAGAACCAGGAAGATACAAGGGATTCAGAAGAATCTGCATGAACCAAACGATTTTAATGATGGTGATGCAACCGAATCAGGACAGAACCAACAACTGCGAATTCATTACTCAAGAAATTTTACCTTTATATAGAGCTCATGCACCTCTTGAAAGAAGCTCTTGATGCCGTCCTCATTCCGTGAATCATGAAGGAGCATGAGTCGAGTATGTGTTGATAAATTAAGGAAGAAACAAATATTTACAACTGGAAATGAATTACCACGCTCACACTATTTAGATGAATGAATCAGAAGAAGCAAACTTTTTGCACTTGAATTTCAAAGGGTCTAAAGTAAGTAGTTCCACAAAAAAAAAGGATATGGCCTGCGGTAACATACACTGACACAACCAGATCGTTAAACCTGTCTACTGACTTCAAGAACCTGAGTCGTTATGTGATAATGAGATGAATCCTTAAAACATAATCGAAATTTTTACAAGGGACTTTACTTACATGGCACTTGTAGTCCATGCTAGGTCTTGGACAACATCTAATGCGGCATGTAATATAAATTGGTGCAACTGGGCAGCATCTTCTCTCTGCCAAATAGAAAGAATGGGTGTGAGAGACTGATGTGCGACTTACACGTTAGACAACACACTAATTGCTATCGTTAGACAAGACACTAATTGCTATCGTGGTTGAAACCTATATCTACCAGCTAGATGAAAGTAACAAACCAAAAAGGAGAAACTTTCAATATTAAACAAGTATAAGTAACCCTACGATAGACCAGAGACCGATTAGTCATGCAATTCCTGTTCAGCAAGCTTACATGATCTTAAGAGATCTAAAAAAAACTAAGACCCTAGTAAGAACAATGCCTGCTTGCTTGGTCATGAAAATGTAAGACAATGTGAAACTTTATTACACCAAAAAGATGTTGATCAATAGTAGTAGCCAACCTTTTCAAATCAGCAGGTAAATTAACAACAATGATAATCAAATTTCTTATCCAGGATATTTCCATCCGAGGGAAGCTAAATGATCTTTGCACCTCTTCTGTGACAGTTTCAGAGGGTTAAATATGAAGTGTTGAACTGTGACCAGGAAACCAAAGTCAAAAGGGGGAGCAGGGAGGTATGATGTGGAATTTATTCTCTCATCTTAAAGATTCCGAACCTAGGATTATGGATCCAACGGAACATGGATGCAAAAATAAAAGTGAGGAGAATGGAGCAAAAAAGCAGGAATAAGTAATGTACTTTGGCAGCAGATCCAACTTCAGCTTCATAGATGGGAATATCATTCCGACCCACAATTATAAAGCAGGCGGTGTTAGCCATTCAATCTCTCGTCTCCAACTAGAAGAAACTAGATCTTGTGTTCCCTGAAACACAAAATCAAAAAGAAAAAAAAAAAACAGATATCAAATTTCAGTATCCATCTTGGCTCTTATAAGCCACCCGAAGTTTTGGAGGAAAGAAACCTAAGCTAGAGAAACTTATCAAATCCACGACATTGCAAAATTTCGTCTCCTAATCCAGAAACTAGCTATGAAATTAAAGGATTAAGGCAGAGAAATGTGTTCCCATTTCTCAAAGTGTAAGGTCAATTGGTCGATTCAACACTGTGTATAAACATTGCTCCCCTTGTCCTGCTTAGTGAAACAAGGGGTTTTCCGTCAAAAGGACACAACAAGTAGATTAGAAACAATCAAACAACTCGTCCAGATACCGACCGATTAAATCCCGACTAATGGAGGTAAATCATCTACTTGAACAGAGATCGACATTCGACAATTGGGTTATGGAAAAGGGAGGAGACTTACGTCTAGAAAACAAAGGTACGGGAGCTTCAGGAATTACGACGGAGAGGAAGGAGAACAAAGGCGATGCCAATTCTTCGGAAATCACAAAGATCTCAGAGTAAAAAAAACATTCTTAACCCAGTGCGTTAGAGATGAAGGAAGATCAACAACGAAAATGTCGAGGCCCGTCACTGTTAATTATTGGGCTTTAAAGCCCATTATTTCTTTAAAATGAAGTTTATATGATATAGATTATCGACCGAAGCGGCGTTGGGAAACATTTTTTTTAAGGAAAAAGATTAACGAATTAAACAAAACAATTTTGTGATGGTGTCGTTGTCGTCGTCATAAGCGATAAGAGAGAAACAAAATCAATTTCCCGAAAAAATTAGTGCAAATAATTATGGCTAAAAAAAATTCAGAAAGTCACATTATAATGGCGAGGGACAACCGACAACTTCTTCTCCCCAGAAAGCAATCAATATATCGCCTTTAATTACCGCGATATGAGAAGAGAAGAAGAAGCTGATAAATTGAAGAACAGTAGTAGTATAAAAATAGCAAAGCAATTAAGCTTTTTAAGAGGAGAGAGGACATACATAAGTGGAAAGTAACCAATAGCCCAACACCCTTCTCATGTACGTTCTTTTTTTTTTTTTGCCTTTTATTAATCAACTTAAAGTTTTGTTTTTAAAATTTTAAAAACTAACCACGATAAAACCAAACAAGTACATAGCCAATAATAGTTGTAGTAGTTTCACATAGTGCGCTTTATTAATACGTAGTGGACTTTCGTAATTTATGAACATACTCACTACTAGACTTTTACACTATTTCCTTCCATTCGTTACAGATTTTCAAACCAATGGCATTGACCAACTGACCTAAAAAAGGTTTTGTAGACTCTAATATTTGAAATAATTACTAATTATTAGAAAAACCAAAAAAAAAAAATTCGGTATGTGGCCCGATTATTTGAAAACATATTTTTGTAATTGACTTTGTTTTTTTATTGGAATTTATTTGATAGCATCGTGAATGATTTAATAATATCTCCCGTAATAACAATTTTAGTTTATCCCGTTAGACGTTTGAACAGACCGGCCAGATGGGACCAACGTGCACTGCTTTTTGGCCGGAGAACTTAAAAAAAAATTAAAGATGCAGTGAACAAACACTGACCACCATTCACTTCTCCACAACTTTTAATGGCCATTTGCCCAATTGATAAAAGAAATCATATCTACTTTATTTACGATGTTCTAGTGTTAGTCAGAATTTTTTACTATTTCTAAAGAAGTACACATCTATTTTTGAGCTATTAGTCTATTACAATTTGTGTTCTGATCTGGAGATTTATATCAAAGTAATTATGTAGGTTGTAGAGGATCTATCGAAAAATCTACTCATTTTAACATAGTTTGACGTTGAGCAAACAATTTTTTGTCATTGATGATTTGTGTATTTTATAAATATTATTTGGAAACCTAATCGAATTTTCATTTGAAAATTATAATCAGTATAATAAGTAATAATTACATCATGCACACGTACCTAGTGACTCATAATGAAACGTATCATACTGGATTGACGAGTAGTTGTCTGATATTGACATCTTAATTTATATGACTTTCCTTTTCATTGTTAATGTTCCTTACTAACTTTTGATTGATAATAAAGACGTTGACATATCAAACCAAATAATTATTTGAAAACTATATATTGTTTTTTCAGATTTTCATCATTTGTTATAAACTCGATAAGACTGTTTCTTTGATTAACAAATGTTTTAAAAAACTTTTTTTTTTTTTTTTTTTGTAAACAAAATTTTTGAAAAACTTATGACCATATATATATTATATAATCTAGTTCAGGCGGAAAATACTGAATCATAAATCATTTTTGTTAGTTTGGATTTTAAATAATAAACCTATGTATAGTTTGAATATTTACAAAACATTTTGATGTGTTTTTCATTTTATATATTTGAGGATTTTTTTAGTTTGTGAAAATAAATCTAATGTTTTCTATTTGGTTATTTGATTTCTTCTTTGCTTTATCTTTTGTTAATATATTATTTTTACTGGTCCTCTCACTCGCCATGGCAAGGAGTATTAAGACATAATGTCTCACATCGGAAGTTGGAAGGGATCCTAAGTAATATATAAGGGATATGGGCCACTCCACTCATTGCCAATTGGTTTTGAGTTGGAAAACCATATTCTAATATGGTATCAGAGCTCGATCCACACATGTCCAACCCGATCCGACCTAAAGATGGTCCAATCATCAACAAGGCCCAAAATTGATGCCGTCGATCTAAGCCCGAACATTCCGAGATTAATGGCCAAAGAGCCATCATCTCGAGAGAGCGTATTAGGACATAATGTCCCACATCGGAAGTTAGAAGGGATCCTAAGTAATATATAAGGGATATGGGCCACTCCACTCATTGCCAATTGATTTTGAGTTGGAAGCCCATATTCTAATAAGGAGCAGGTTTTTGTTTTTGTTTTTGTGTTTAGACATCTTCTTGCATTCCATGTTAGTGTATTTGAATAAAAAAAGCAAGCTAAATCGGCAAATGAACTTGTATACACAATTACACATTACTAGAAAAGTAGAGATACTCGTGTTACCGTGTAAACTAAAAGAATAGAAATATGCTTTTCAAAAGTTATACTTTTCTTGTGCACCCATAACTTTAGCAAAAGAAACAATTATCATTCTTGAGCAATTAAAGCAAATAATAGTATTTATCTTCAGCTGGTGCCAAAAACCTTTACGCTAATGACGTCAAACTCGATGTTTCTTGTGAAAGACTATATAAAATAACAACAATAGATACATCATACATTTTAAAATTAACATATTAGTTCACTGTAATTAAATCGTCAACTATCGATGAAATACCAATTATGCTGTGAAGTCTGAACAAACAAACAAAATTAATTTTCTTAATTAGTTGTACAGTTAACTGAGGCTCGTATATACTACTCAATAGTCAATATAGTTCACATGACATTTCGGGATTAATAAAAACAATCCAAAACAGTTAAATGGGCTCGTATATAATTATAGAAAATGATTAGTAGAAATTAAAAGAATCACAGAAATATTTAACGACTCCAAATCACGAGAAGGCCTAAGAGTTCTCATGTCGGGAGAATTAAGTGATAACCTCTTCCATTATCTCTCTCTCAATCACGTGATTTTTGTTCAACGAGTACCGCATCTCAAGAATTAATGGCAATTTAGGTAATATTTGTCATTTTCAAGGGCAATGGAACTTAAAGATGCATCTCAGAAGGAAAAGTTTTGTCGTGTTATGAGGGATCTGTGGGGACGCAGCTACTTCGCTTACAAACCGTTGGATCAATATCCTTTAAGGTTCATCGTACAAGATTGACGGTATTCACCGAGGGTGTAGTCCTGTCGCGACACAGACGATCATGTCTCCTTGTCGTACAGCTAGCAGCTAGAGATTCCGAGCCGATAACGTCGAGAATTGTAGCCGGCTAAGTCTTATGCCCTGATTTGACTGTACTTATATATAAGTATCTCCGCTTATCAGAATCAGCTTCCTTATCGTGTAATAGGTGCATTGGCTTATTAGACTCCGTTATCTGTCACCTTCGCATATTAAAATCACTTTTTTCGTTCGGGTTTTAAATTAAAGTCTCCATTTCTGCAAGATTTTAATGTTCGTATAAATAATCCTGAAGAGAGAGAAAACTTGTTTTTCTTTTTTCTCTCAGTATCGGGTTGAGAGAAAAAAAAGAAAAGAAAAAACGAAATCCTTCATTTTCAGGAGAGAGAGAGAGAGAGAGACTGAAGCTCTGGCCTTTGTTTCTGAAATCGATCTTGTTCTTCTTCTTCTTCATGGTAAGTAAGCTTCACGCTTCTTTGGTTAATAACGGAATCTAGTTTTTTTTTTTTTTTTTTTTGAATGGTAGCTTTTCTGGGTTTTTGCTTTATCCCTTTTGATTTATTTTCTTCTCATGTAGTGAAAAAGATGGCCATTTAAGCTTTTTATATTTAATTCGATGGACAATAATAATACTAGGAAGACCTAATTTTTTTGCTCTATTAAACAGTAATTAAATCCGCCGGAATAGAGACTTTTGGAGAATTTTCCGGAGATAGTTTGAAGATCTAGTTATAATTAAGAGGGTGGTGTGTATTTTTCATTTTTTTTGATTAAATCCAGGAATATTTGAAACCCAGTAAATTTGGTGTTTGTTCATTTAAAGGTTATAAATAATCGTCGCCATTTGCAGATCGATCTGGTGCATCTGACTTGAAAGCTTATCGGAGTGAGTGAAGAAATATTATCATGTCTTCTCTGAGCAGAGAGCTCGTGTTCTTGATCTTACAGTTTTTAGATGAAGAGAAGTTCAAAGAGACTGTTCATAAGTAAGTCCTCTTTCCGATCTCTGATTCGTCATTTTGTTAGGCGAGAAATGCATTAACTTGATTGATTTTGTGGGAAATTTGTTAGGCTTGAACAAGAATCTGGGTTTTTCTTCAATATGAAGTATTTTGAGGATGAGGTCCACAATGGTAACTGGGATGAGGTTGAGAGGTATCTCTCTGGTTTTACCAAAGTTGATGATAATAGATACTCCATGAAGATTTTCTTCGAGATTAGGAAGCAGAAGTATCTCGAGGCCTTGGATAGGTAAGTTGTTGACTTGTGTCTGTCAACAACCATTAGATTTGTGTTTTCATTTGCCAATGTCTCACACACACCGGTTGCTTTTTGTAGGCATGATCGTCCCAAGGCTGTGGAAATTCTAGTCAAAGATTTGAAAGTCTTTTCCACTTTTAATGAGGAGCTTTTCAAGGAAATCACTCAGCTCTTGACCTTAGAAAACTTCCGGTAAGCCACATCAGGGTTTTAAAGAAGCTTCAGGTTTAACTTTACATTGTGCAAAAGAGTTTTAACTCTTTCTACTTCAGGGAGAACGAGCAGTTATCCAAGTATGGGGACACAAAGTCCGCCCGAGCTATCATGTTGGTGGAACTCAAGAAGTTGATTGAAGCTAATCCATTGTTCCGTGATAAATTGCAGTTTCCTACCCTTCGAAATTCACGGCTGAGGACTCTCATTAATCAGAGGTATTGATTGTCCTTTCTTGTTCACTTCCAACTAATTTTCATTTCTCAGCTGCTTTAACTCCTTGTTTCTATGTGACTCCATTACATGCAGCTTAAATTGGCAACATCAGCTTTGTAAAAACCCAAGGCCTAATCCTGATATTAAGACTCTCTTTGTGGATCATTCCTGCCGCCTACCAAATGATGCACGAGCACCATCCCCTGTCAACAATCCGCTGCTTGGATCATTACCAAAAGCTGGGGGATTTCCTCCTTTAGGCGCACACGGGGTAGGTCAATTTCCAGCCGATTTTCGTCTTTTCTATAAGTGCACTTTATTCTGATTTTGCTCCTAGCTCTATAGTTACCTTTACATGCCGTGCTTGATTATGTCTTCTTCAGCCATTTCAACCAACACCTTCTCCTGTTCCTACACCTCTTGCTGGTTGGATGTCTAGTCCTTCCTCTGTCCCACATCCAGCTGTGTCTGGAGGAGCCATTGCTCTTGGTGCTCCATCCATCCAAGGTAATTTGCTTATCAAATGTGGTTTTTCTTCCTAAAAGCTGTGTGGAACTATAGTCTTTCAAATTTTATCCTTGCCTTTTTTTTAAGAATCGTTAAGTTTCACCTGTGATCTATGTAACATGTTCTCCTTTTTGGGTCTTAGCAGCCTTGAAGCACCCGAGAACTCCTCCAACTAATTCCGCTGTAGACTATCCATCAGGTGATTCAGACCATGTCTCAAAGCGAACAAGACCTATGGGAATCTCTGACGAGGTGACAAAAATCTAAAGCAATATTATGTATTTTCTTATCAATACCAATTTTACTCAATTGGTTATGCTAGTTTAGAATTTAGACGTATTTCTTCTTTCTCCCAATATGTAGGTGAGTCTAGGTGTCAACATGTTACCAATGACATTCCCGGGACAGGCTCATGGTCATAATCAAACCTTCAAAGTACCTGATGACTTGCCCAAGACAGTAGCACGAACTTTGAGCCAAGGCTCATCTCCCATGAGCATGGATTTCCATCCTATTAAACAGACTCTGCTACTAGGTCTGTTTCTTGCTCTGTATGCATATTTCATGAAACATACATCATCAGAAATTTGTAACATCAGAAGCTTCTTGCTTCACTTTTCTTTTTTCTAGTTGGTACGAATGTAGGGGATATTGGGCTCTGGGAAGTCGGTTCTCGAGAACGACTAGTCCAGAAGACTTTCAAAGTTTGGGACTTGAGTAAATGTTCAATGCCCTTGCAGGTTCTTTTATGAAAACTAACCAGATCTTAATATCTAATATTTATTTGAAACTTCAATGACCAAAAATTCTGGTTTTTATAGGCTGCTTTGGTGAAAGAACCTGTCGTTTCTGTCAACCGTGTGATTTGGAGCCCGGATGGTTCCCTATTCGGTAAGATTTGAAATTTCAAATGCTCTTTCTACTGATTTGGGTATTCATATGCACGTTTTCAATTGCAGGAGTTGCTTATTCAAGACATATTGTACAGCTATACTCTTATCACGGTGGTGAAGATATGAGGCAACACCTCGAGGTGTGATAATTTAAAACAACATTTTAGGAGCACTTCTTTCATTTTCTGTAACTAAAAGCATTTATTATTATTATTATTCAGATTGATGCTCATGTTGGCGGTGTCAATGACATTGCATTCTCCACTCCGAACAAGCAACTATGTGTTACTACTTGTGGTGATGACAAAACCATCAAGGTTCAGCCTTTTTTTTTTTCTTTTTTTTCCTTAATTTTGTTTTTTTTTTTGTTGGAACTCTAAAAACAGGACTAATCAATTCTTTGAATCAAGGTCTGGGATGCTGCAACGGGTGTAAAACGGCATACTTTTGAAGGCCATGAAGCTCCTGTTTACTCTATCTGCCCTCACTACAAGGAAAACATTCAGGTAAGTAGCAATATTTAAACGGTTTCATTTTTGCTCAGTACAAGTTTAAATTCGTATCTATTTGGTTTTGGTCTTGACTTGTTTATTTCTTCTTTTGCTCAAGTTCATCTTTTCAACTGCGCTTGACGGGAAAATAAAAGCATGGTTATATGATAATATGGGTTCTCGGGTTGACTATGAAGCTCCTGGTCGCTGGTGTACAACGATGGCCTACAGTGCTGATGGAACTAGGTTATCACATTATTCTCATCATCATTATGTTGTGGTTCTGTTTACTCTGTTCTGTCTCGTCGTGATGTGATAATAAATTTAAAGTCTAATTTTTGTTTTATTCGTATGGATAGGCTATTTTCTTGTGGGACGAGTAAAGATGGGGAGTCGTTCATAGTTGAGTGGAATGAAAGCGAAGGAGCAGTTAAGAGAACTTATCAAGGATTCCACAAGCGTTCTCTTGGTGTTGTGCAGTTTGATACTACTAAAAACCGTTATCTCGCTGCGGGTGACGACTTCTCCATTAAGTTCTGGGATATGGACACTATACAGCTTTTGACTGCCATTGATGCTGATGGAGGTCTCCAGGTATGTAAACAAATACCTCGATTCTTCCTGGAAACCAAATGTTTTCATTTGCAGCCATCATGTGGCTCTATATTTTGTAGGCAAGTCCACGGATCAGATTTAACAAGGAAGGCTCTCTCTTGGCCGTTTCTGCAAATGACAATATGATTAAGGTTATGGCAAACTCAGATGGTCTTAGGCTATTGCACACAGTCGAGAACTTATCTTCTGAATCCTCCAAGGTACTGAATTTTTTGCTCACTAAATCTTCAACAAGCAAATGACTAACCCCCAATTTGAAATTTCTTCAACACTTTGTTTGCCATTTACATTTGCAGCCTGCAATCAATAGCATTCCGGTGGCAGAGAGACCTGCCTCTGTCGTTTCCATTCCTGGAATGGTACGAAAATCGATATTTTTTTTTTCCTTCAGTTTCTCTATCTTTTGGTCTGTGTCCAACCATCGTCGTTGCTCACTTACCGTTTCAACAGAATGGAGATTCACGGAATATGGTGGATGTGAAGCCAGTGATCACTGAAGAATCAAATGATAAGTCTAAGGTATGGAAGCTTACTGAACTCGGCGAACCCTCTCAATGCCGTTCATTGAGACTCCCTGAGAATATGAGAGCCACCAAGGTACCAACACAGAGACTGACATAATTGCACTTATACATATGGCTTTGATTCTAATGACTCAAAACTTTAGCAGATATCGAGATTGATTTTCACAAATTCGGGAAATGCAATTTTGGCATTGGCATCAAATGCTATTCATCTGCTATGGAAGTGGCAGCGAAATGACCGCAATGCAACTGGAAAGGTACATATGGTCTAAAATCTGCCTTTAAGACCTCTGAAAGAGGTGAAATCATGATGAAATTCAATTTGTGATTTTGTGTAGGCAACGGCTTCTGTACCTCCTCAGCAGTGGCAACCAGCGAGCGGGATCTTAATGACAAACGATGTGGTTGAAACTAATCCAGAAGAAGCCGTACCATGTTTTGCTTTATCCAAAAATGATTCCTACGTAATGTCAGCATCGGGAGGAAAGATCTCTTTGTTTAATATGATGACGTTTAAGGTAGAATCTCAGCTTGAGACAGCACTAAGTCTAATGTATGCAACCAAATCTTCATCTGTTCATTTAAATGTGTTGTTGGCTAAGCGCAGACAATGGCTACTTTCATGCCGCCGCCCCCTGCTGCAACGTTTCTTGCTTTTCACCCTCAAGATAACAATATCATTGCGATCGGGATGGATGATAGTACAATACAGATTTACAATGTTCGTGTTGATGAGGTTAAGAGCAAGCTTAAAGGACATTCTAAGAGAATAACCGGCCTCGCTTTCTCCAATGTACTAAACGTTCTGGTTTCGTCTGGAGCAGATGCTCAGGTGCTGTTTCATCTCATGTTTTGTAATCAAGAATCTCAATCGTTAGAAGTCTTACTGTAAAACTTTTGGTTTTTGTATGTATGCAGCTTTGTGTATGGAACACGGATGGATGGGAGAAGCAGAAAAGCAAGGTCCTGCAAATTCCACAGGGAAGATCGACGTCTGCTCTGTCAGACACGCGTGTTCAGTTTCATCAAGATCAAGTACACTTCCTTGTGGTCCATGAAACTCAGCTCGCCATATACGAAACAACCAAGCTTGAATGCATGAAACAGGTTTTAGTAATTATTACTCTCGCTCTCACTTTCTTTCTCACTCCTTGCATCTGATAGAAATGTCTTAATTTTGATTCCAGTGGCCTGTGCGTGAATCATCAGCTCCAATCACACATGCCACATTCTCATGTGATAGCCAACTGATATACACAAGTTTCATGGACGCTACGATATGTGTCTTCAGCTCTGCAAACCTTAGATTGCGTTGCAGAGTCAATCCCTCAGCATATTTGCCAGCTTCTCTCAGGTGAGTAACAAAAGCGAATGAATGAATGTAAAGAGTGCAATAATGTTGTTGTTGAATCTTGAATGTCGGTGATGATGATGTTTGTGCAGCAACTCGAACGTCCATCCGCTGGTGATAGCGGCTCATCCGCAAGAATCGAATATGTTTGCAGTGGGTCTGTCAGACGGAGGGGTCCATATATTCGAGCCGCTTGAGTCAGAAGGTAAATGGGGAGTAGCTCCACCGCCTGAAAATGGCTCAGCGAGCGCTGTCACGGCTACAGCTTCCGTTGGAGCTTCTGCCTCTGACCAGGCTCAGAGATGATGATATGAAACCGATCTGCTTCAGTTCCTTACTCTGTTTATTTTTGGGGTTTTAGATCTTTTCCGAAAGCATTCTAACAAGGTGAATGAATCAATGTAAAATATTATCTATAGCTTACAAGTTGCCTAATTGGTTAATTCGATGTTGCTTGCTTATGATTTTTTTTGGTCTTAAGAAAGTATCAGTGTTGCAACTAAGGATTGACTGCCACGTGCAGCTTCGAAAATGGAGTTAGGTTTGGATACCAAGGAAGAATTAGTAAGGCTGTGCGGCCCACGGCCCACAGACATATATATGTATATGGACTATCTACGTACAATAATATTATCTTCGTGGACATTTCTTCTCTAAGCTACAAAAATTATTATATCTCTGTATCTCTCTCTCTAGAAGAAGAAGCTACACAGTGGGAAGAAGAAGCTACACAGTGGGAAGAAGAAGCTAAAATGGCGACGCTATCAAAACTAGAGATTGCCTCGACCTTCCTCGCTCCTCGTTCCGCTGCCGCCTTTAACTATCGCTCTTCTTCTGCCGCCGTCTCTGTTTTCTCCAGGCCCAGAGCTACCACCGTTTCCGTCAGAACTACGCCGTCTTTATTCTATTCCCCGGTGGTTCGCCGTCGAAGATTCTCATCTGTCTCTGTCTCAGCTACGCAGACAGAGGATTCCGATGTTACCACTAAGATTCCGCCAGATAACCGGATTCCGGCTACTATTATCACGGGGTTTTTGGGCTCTGGCAAGGTCAGTCAGTGCTTCTCATCTTCATATTTATTATTCTAGGGTTCCTCTATTTTCATGATACTTGGATTAATTATACTGCAATGTTTTTTCCCGGATGACCAGACAACATTGCTGAATCATATACTGACCAGAGATCATGGGAAGCGAATAGCCGTCATCGAGAATGAGGTTAGTTGATTATCCTCGCCTCTATTTATTTACTTATAGTGTTGTTGCTTTCTAATTCATGTTTCCATCTCAGTTTGGTGAAGTTGACATTGATGGGTCACTTGTTGCTTCTAAATCTATTGGAGCAGAGGATATTGTTATGCTCAACAATGGCTGCCTCTGTTGCACTGTTAGGGGTGATCTTGTCAGGATGATTGGAGAATTAGTCAATACCAAGAAAGGAAAGTTCGACCATATTGTCATTGAGACTACAGGTACTTTTTTATTTATCACCACTAAGCTCTTGAGCTACTCATCCTTAAACGAGTATGCTTTTTGTAGGATTGGCAAACCCGGCACCCATTATCCAAACCTTTTATGCCGAGGAAGATATTTTCAATGATGTCAAACTGGATGGCGTTGTTACTCTAGTTGATGCTAAGCATGCTCGTTTGCATCTAGATGAGGTCAAACCCACGGGTGTTGTCAATGAGGCTGTTGAACAAATAGCTTATGCAGATCGTATCATAGTCAACAAGGTAGCCAAAATTTTGACGCACAACTGTCTCAAAGAGAATGTGATAGTTTTCGTGATCTTGAGAGTTTGAATCTTTCTATCATAAGATTCAGGCCGTTCCTCTCTCAAATAGTTTATAGTTTACAAATGACTTCATTTGCACAAATGGTATTGACACGTCCTAAGTGACGGATCCACATGTTTACCTCAATGTATAGGGGTGCATAATCTATTGTTTTTCATTGCCATATCCAATTTCTGAAAAGTGATTGTACTTTGTTACAGACTGATCTTGTTGGTGAGGCGGAATTAGGTTCGGTGGTGCAACGCATAAAGGTCGATCTTACATCTTCTTCATTTTCATGTATTTCACTAGATGTTACTTGTTCCCAGCTTCTATCAGACCATTCTTGGTTATCTTGTTCCATGTTAACGTATTTGCTATGGTTATCTACAGACAATAAACAGCATGGCTCAGATGACGCGGACAAAGTACGGAAACGTTGACTTGGATTATGTTCTTGGAATTGGAGGTTTTGATCTAGAGAGGTCTGCTTCTTATTCAACTTATGATAATATTCAGTTTGGTGTCTTGTAGCTTAACGCAATTATTAAGGTGTTTTTTTTGCTTATCAGAATTGAAAGCTCTGTGAACGAAGACGATAAGGGAGATCACCATGACCACGACCATGACCACGACCATGACCACGACCACCATCACCACGATGAACGTGGTAATTTATTAGGAAAGCTTGATTTGTTATACTGATTGCATGCTCCAGCTTTACAAACATGGATTGTTGGCTCTGGTCTCTCTCAGCAGAACCTAATCAGTCACTGATTCTTAACCGCAGAGCATCACAATCATTCTCACGATCACACCCATGATCCCGGTGTTTCTTCAGTCAGTATAGTTTGCCAAGGAAGCTTAGACCTTGAGAAGGTAATATAGATAATAAGCAGCTTGAAAGGCACAAAAAAGTCTCATATAAAACAACTGTTTGATGAAACCGTATGTTAATCTTCAAATTTTGTTACAACCCATCAGGCAAACATGTGGCTCGGGACGTTACTGATGGAACGCAGTGAAGACATATACAGAATGAAAGGTCTCCTCTCGGTTCACACCATGGAGGAGAGATTTGTGTTTCAAGGAGTCCATGACATATTTCAAGGATCACCAGACCGGTTATGGGGAAGAAACGAGGAGAGAGTGAACAAGATCGTCTTCATTGGTAAGAATTTGAACAGGGAGGAGTTGGAGAAGGGTTTTAAAGCTTGCTTGATTTGATATTTGCACTAGGTGTATGTATGTATACTGAGGAAATAGTCACCAGAGTTGTTGTACTTTGATTTAAGTGCCAAGGGCTATAAACGTCATTGCACTTAGTCCTCCGCGCATCATTATTGTGGCAGAGGTATTCCCTACTTAATAAAAGTTTCATTTCATGATCATCTATTTCAATGTCGATGGCCTGAATGTACGATTTTCGAATTTTCTTTTATTGCAAGTTAAGTAGAGAACGCAATAACAACGGAATGTTACTTGCATCGAATTCCGACACACACATAAAACTGTGAATTCGTTCACATTATAACTAAGCTCAGACAAATCTCAGTGATTGGTCTCTTTATGTTCTTATGTGGATAACAACTTAGAAGTCCACATCTTCTTGGCAACGTAAGGGGTTTCCAAAGGATCTCAGAATCATTTGTCTCCCCTATGATCTAAACAAAGAGCAAGTTTCTTGTGTATTCTTAAATTTTCCAAAAAGTACCTTGCTAATCTGCGATTGAACTACAGACAAAGAATGCATGCTACAAGTGTTCATATTTGAAAGAAAAATAAAACAGATATAAAAAGCAAGTGATAGTCATATTTCCTCACTAGAAATCTCGATGAGAAATTACAAAAGTTTCCACCAAAGTCGATCAAATCAAGATTCAAAATGATTTTAGCTAAAAGACCTTCCATTTTTGTCAAACAACTTGTTGCAATTTCAAGAGTTCTAACATTTTTTTTTTTTGTCATCCGAAATTAAAAAGAGTTCAAAAGAGCCAATCCTGAGGAATGTTGTTTACATAGTTCTAAGATTATTTACCCAAAAATAATTTTAAGGCCATCTTTTGCACCACAAAATATTTAGGATAAAATCGATTAAGACTAATCAGGTCAAAATTTTGGCCTCGAATAACTTTATGGATGTGCATATTTTTAAATTTGGTCATATATTATTCAAATCAAAAATCACATGGTTTTAGTTCAATGGATTTACTTTTTAAAGTTTAGTTGTTAAATTTATTTTAAATTTTAATGAAATTAAAAGAATTTTAGTGAAAATCATTATTATTTTAAAAATGAGTTTAAGTGTTAAATATATATTTCGTGAAAACATGCCGAACTTCGAACACCAAAGTTTACGGACCAACTAATGACATGATGTTTATGCTCGGTTAGTTTTCGACGTTTTGAAAACTTTACACTTAACCTAATTTTTAAAAAGTAATAGAGAAATTAAAATGGTTTTAGTTAAAAATATTTATTATTTTCTTAAAGATTAAGTGTTAAATTATTTTTAAATTTTAGTTAATTTTTTTTTTTAAAATAAGTTTAAGTGTTAAATCTATATTACGTGAAAACATTTCCGAACTTTGAACACCAAAGCTTATGGACCAACTAAGGATAGGATGTCTAGGCGCGGTTTGTTTTCGACGTTTTTAAAATTTAACACTTAAACTAATTTTTAAAAAATAATAGTGAAATTAACATGGTTTTAGTTAAAAACATTTATTATTTTCTAAAAGTTTAAGTGTTAAATTTTTTTTAAAATTTTAGAATTATTATATTTTAAAAATAAGTTTAAGTGTTAAATCTATATTATGTGAAAACATTACCGAACTTCGAACACCAAAGCTTACGGACCAACTAAAGACAGGATGCTTAGGTGTGGTTTGTTTTCGACGTTTTTAAAATTTAACACTTAAACTAATTTCGTTTATGTAATGTTAAAGTGGACTGTTTAGCCCGTTCTTCTAGACTTTTATTTTCTGATGTTATTTTTGTAAACTCTTCTCCTCCTGATTGGGCAACCAATCATGGAGTTGTTTTTTAATGAAGGTGTGGTTGAAAAAAAAAAAAAAATACTTAAAACTAATTTTAAAAAAGTAATAGTGAAATTAACATGGTTTTAGTTAAAAACATTTAATATTTTCGTAAAGTTTAAGTGTTAAATTTGTTTTAAATTTTAGAATTATTATATTTTAAAAATAAGTTTAAGTGTTAAATCTATATTACGTGAAAACATTGCCGAACTTCGAACACCAAAGCTTACGGACCAACTAAGGACAGGATGTCTAGGCGCGGTTTGTTTTCGACGTTTTTAAAATTTATCACTTAAACTAATTTTTAAAAAGTAAAATTTTTTTATTTAGTTAGATGTTTTAGTGAAGGTTTTAAACTAATTAGTTTTAGTTTTACTTAAAATAAATTTTAAATAAAATAAAATAAAAATAAGAATGAAGAAAATAATACCTTAGTGGATTTGATAGCAAAGAAGGCCCATACAAAAATGCCCATGCGAAGCCCACCGTGTGCTTGGAAATTCTGAGAAGCTTTTTTTTTTTTTTTTGTCTTAAGAATTCTAGTACAGGGTCTTGGTGTTTTCCTTCGTTATCCACTTTTTTGCCTCTTAGTCTCCGGTGAAAGCATCTCGGCGGCTAGATCATTATCCGGTGAATTTAGGGCGAACTGAAGTCGAACTTGATTTAGATTGAAGACGACAGAGGAGATGCATCATTCAATCAATGAAACGATGCTATGGTTTCCGCTTCCGATCAATCTAACTCTTACGGATGTTGCAGAGATCATCATATCGGCTTTTACTTCAAACTTGGATCAGCGGAACTCACAGAGTCTCTGTATAAAGACATAATTGGCTCTGCAAAGAAGAAGAAGAAGAAGCGAGAAATAGAGAGTTTTAATTTCTCTCACAAGGAAAGAATTAGAAGAAGCGAGAAAGAGAGTATGTATTTATAAGCAAAGAGGTTCAAAAGAAAAAGGAAATTGCGAATCACAATTAACGGTCACATAAAGATTTCCTTTTTTCCTTTTTTCTGTAATTTCCTTTTTCTTTGTTTCCTTTTTTTCGATGGCTTTATTTCCTTTTTTGTTTTTCTGTGTTAATGTGTGTGAATCCGCTGAGTTTAATTAATTGAAGAATCAACTCATTGTCTGAGTCGATAAGGTTGATGATCCGATCCTCAAAAGTATAATACTAACCACAACACTGTCTTCTTTCATGTTAGTACCATGGTTCATGAGAGTTTTAAATGGAATACTTCAAAGTCCAATGTACGTTGGGACTGGCTGTATCTTCCGCCGAGAGCAACAGAGAGCATCATTGATGGTTTGAAACGAGAAAGGTCGAGACTATCTTTAAGGAAACCAAAAGCTTAGCTATGATAAAGAAAGATGACATCTCTCTCTCTCTTTGCCTATGAATGAAGAATACAACAAATAATATTATGTGATGGAGATGTCTAATCTTTGCTTCTCTTCTCCCAAAGAGATTTGGTTACTCAAAATCTCTTTCGTTTTCCGGTAGCTGATAGTTTAGTTTCTGGTAACTAAAAATGTAGTGGAAGGATTGGCTTTCCCTTCTTATACGAGATTCTGTGTGTGTGTGTGGCATTTGATGTCTCATGTTGGAGACGTGGTCTTGTTTAGAGTGTTTTTGTTTGGTTATGTTCTTCTGTTGATCTTTCTTTATGTAAATCACACAAGACAATAAGAAACAGATACATAGTTACAACTTTTAGCACGTACGCAACAGAAACAACAATTAATGAGAGACGCCTTTGATATTGAATTGAGTTTTGTCCAAACATATCAACGAACAAACAAATAATAACACACAACAGTACATTCAGAAGACGGAATTGTTCTTTTGTCTCTTTGTTCAGAGATGATGTTACAGTTCTGTAGAGAAACATCATTTTTACTGGTCTGTAAGCAATTTCTAACCTGGATAAGAAAGCAACCTCACAGAATTTACATAACTTATCTCCGCAACCTCTTCCTTTCTTCATGTTTGAGAAAAAACAATCCGATTTTATAGTTTTCTTCGCAATTTACAAAGAATGCATGCTACAAGTGTTCATATTTGAAAGAAAAATAAAACAGATATAAAAAGCAAGTGATAGTCATATTTCCTCACTAGAAATCTCGATGAGAATTTACAAAAGTTTCCACCAAAGTCGATCAAATCAAGGTTCAACTTAGCAAAAAAACAAACAACGTCTTGGTCAGACCCAAGATTCATGTCCACAACAAGTCTAAAAGATCTTCCACTTGATTACTGATCAAGTACTTTTGGAATGAACATGTCTTTGTAGATCATTGGTAATAAACTGGATCCATCAGAAACATCCCCGCACGCTGGCTTAAGCATGACAACTTCACACCCACTTGCCCGTTTTGGAATCTTTCTGACTTTGTTCATGACTTCTCCAAAACTTTCATTTAGCATCAGTTTCTTCAAAACTACACTATTCCTTATAAAGTATATTGCTAGTTCCATCTTGCTTGGTATCTCAGTCACTGTGATTGGTGCCTTCAATTGAACAAACTCGAGAGATGATTGAAAACACTGAGGAACAAATGAAAGATTATTCTTCTCCTTCTTTGGAAGGTAGTCAAATTCCTGATGATACAACAAAGGAAAAATTTAGATCTTTATTGGGACATGAATCTCAATATGTTAACACAAAAACATAAGAAAATGATACGCACCAAGTCAAGTGAGTGTAGATTTGGGCAGCAACCAAGAAATGTTGGAAACATTTCCCAAGAAGATTCAGAGAACGTAGCATGCAAACAAGACAAGTTAGAGAACTGAGGTACGGATTCCATTTCCGAGTATTCATGGATCATCTGTTAGAAAGATAGAAACTGTCCATAAGAAAATGAATTGTAACTGAATCAACAAAGCATAATTAATGTTCTCATGTCTACCTCTAGAGTTCGAGCAGAGATTGTCAATTCACGAACTGTGGATATGGCGGTGAGAAAATCATGGATCATAAAATCATCATCCTCCTCCACATCAAAGACAAGATCAATGTTCACCTTTGCACAAGGAGATACATTGTGTATTATGAAACTCTCGGATTGATAATCAGTGATGCTCATGTACTCAAGTTTGGGGGCATCGATTTCAACATCAGGATCTTCACATTCCTCATATTCCTCACGCATAGACTCTAGTTTGAAGCGTCTTAGTGACGGAGAGCGCACACATACAACTCCGAGAAAATCATCATGATGCGTAACTATGATTAATTCGTCGAGAACAGAGCAACTTGATATGAGTGCCTCAAGAATTGATTCTCCGTCAAACTTGACAGCCTCGAGATGCATAGTCTTGAGGCAAGGTAAAGAAACCAATTCTGATAGAGGCGCATCGAAGACTACACCATAGAGAGTTAAATTCACCAGAGTCGCACATGAGTAGAGGGAGAGAGGCATCCGGACTGACTCTTCCTCAGTATTAACCTTACTCAGAAGAGTAAAATCACAAACTCCACGATTGACCACAAGATCGATCCGAGACACGAAAGCAGAGTGAAAATGCTCTTCAACATTGTAAATCCACTTGAACCTCTTCATCTTTAGATTTTCATCAGACTCCACAAAGCTATCAAAGAAATCCTCCAAGTCCCATTCATCAGTGAATTTACTGGAGTCCAAGTCCAAGGCAGGCACGTGTTTCCAGAGATTTCTCCATCGCTTTGACATAACGCTTGTGCTAACCGATTCCTTGGTAGAGACTTTCGAGAGGATCTGACGTAGCAAATCATCTGGTAAACCACTAATCCAATCGGATTCCGTCAACTTGCTCTTCTTTACAGAGGTTTTAGCCATGGTTCCTCTGCCTAAACCCTAATATTTTACACGGAATAAATGCTCTGTATGAAAATTGAATCGTTTTGGATAAAATCATCAGAGTATAATACTCTGTTACCAAAAAGTCTAAAGAGGTCTCTAGAAAGAAATAAACAGTGATATTTATTTATAAGGGTACTGAAATTACTTACTGATGATATTGGTCTTTTACTGCGTCCGCCGTTCATACCTACGAAGGAGATGACGGCGAGAGAAAGAGAGAGAGGAAGAAGAAGAAGACTTCGACTATGAAAACACCGTCTATATAATTCGCCGGCGAAAGGGCACGGAGGGTTTCTCGCTCGCTTTCTGACTTGTGTTGACAATTTTGTATGGTATATATATTCAAAATCAAAGAGTCACGCCCCTTGGTAAGTAATATAATAACTGCCCCTTTTTCTTTGCTTGACCTTCATTGACCTTTTTAATGGTGATTTTATTATATTTAATGATAATTAAATTAATGATAAAAAGGTTAATTTACGGCAATCTGAAAAGACCACTCGTAGAAATGTAATGATTACTTTTGGTCTTCCTTTTAAATCTCTCATTCAGCGTTACAGAATTTAAATTTTTGAATAAATATACTTGAAAATATATAAATATTAATGCTTACTATAGATAATAAAAATTAGTAATTTTTATACACCTACAATCTTTTACAAAATCGAAAATACAACATATTTTTGATTTTTCATGAATAAATGATAATAAACTATTGTGTTAAATGATATAATTAACAATAGATCAAGTATATAAAAAAGGTTGAGATGAAATGGTTAGATACAAATAATAAAAATCTCTTACTAATAAAAGAAGCTCATTGAGACTTCTCAATGTGTTCACATCAGCTTCTCTATCAAGTCCTCTGAAGATGCCACATCATCTCACTCTAAATTCTCAAAAAAAACCCATCAATTCATTCCAAATCATGCCACATCAGCTTTCGCAAATACCTCTTCCTCTCCTCCTCAAAAAAACGTTACGCCACAAGACCCTAATAAATCAAAGTTTGAAACCTAAAACCTATCGTCTTTCACAATGCTACGATCTCTTTGGTTTCAAACTTCGTTCATATCCTATGGTTTCCCACTCTCTCAGTCAATCAAAGTATCATTTTCAAATCGGAAGACTGTCATCTCTGAGACAAGGGATCGATAGTATGATCGCTAGCTGCATAGGCAGCCAAAAACTATCTGGTCCGACGGGAACATGTTGCAGACGAGGGATGTGGGGAAATCGGATCGTGCTGATCGTGAGATGTTGGTTCGTCAAGTTCTTGCGATAGCTATTAGGATAATTACAAGTTTCTTTCTGCTATTATGGAACGGCTTGATAGGTGTGTATCTTCGAATTCATTATCTCTATTTCAGGTTTCTCTTACACTCTTTAAAAATTAACATACATCTGAATCAGAATGTTAAATATTCGATGGATAGATGATTTTGACACAAATTTTAATGATTGTTTTGTGTTTATTGTAGAGTTGGAATGCAGGTTCCGAAAATTTAAGAATGGTTTCAGAATTAGAATCTTCAAGCTGATGTTCAAGCTGCTACAAGAGCTTCGTCCACTTTGGTTAATGCCTCTCGTGATTTTGTTGAGGTTTGGCTTTTAAAAAAAATAAAAATAAATTAGCAATCTGTTTGCAAGATTGTTTCTAATACTTCATTTCTCTGTTACAGCGTGTCTTCATGATTACAATAAACATACCTAGAACACAAACTAACGATTTTGAAAGATATCATTGAGATTACCAAACCAAGAAGGTAAGTTAAAAGACAGTTTAAATTATAAATTAACAATATGTATAGTCACAAGCACTAATTGGTTACTATATTTTGCAATTTTTTAAGGATGGCTTTCTTGTAAGGACCACATGGTTCTATAAAATCAACTTTACTTCTTACTTTCGCACGAAAACTTATTAAGAGTATTAATGTTAGTTAACCCGTGAAGTGAAAAGCTGTTCTCATATATATCACTTTTATCTTATGTTAGTTATCTCTTTTTGTTTAGTAGTCACATGCATGTGTCTTAATGGTTTGTAAGTTGATCATATGGGAAGGATCGTATGATGCATCTTGAGCCTTGGTTGGATTTTCCTTTACCTGAAGAGGAAGGCAACTTTGATGGTAAGTTTTCATTTCAGATATTCGTTGGACATGTAAAATTGCTTCTGGTTTTTGAGTTTAGAAAACTTATTCTATATATAAACTCGAAATTTGTTCTAATCACTGAGATTTTGATTATTCCTTGTGAAGATTAAGTTGACTTTTTGTGTATAATATTGCTTTTGTTTCAGTCCAGCAAAACCATGAAAGAATCAGAAAAATACTACTACGATTCGGATTCCTGCAGGATATGATTTCCATTGTGTGAGGCCTTCCATATGAAGCAATCAAGTTTTTTACGTGTATGCTTTTGTGAAACTTGCAAATAAGTTACATGATAATCATAGGCTATTATAGAAAACAATATCCCAAGTAGTGTGTTTGTAGAGTAAGCAATATCCATGCCTTTACCACATGAGTAGCGCGGCAAGGATCGGTTTCTGTGGCCTACAAGCCATGATATATATGGGGTTAAGTTCTCTTCTCATCACACCTGGGACCAGATTCGAGAGCACCACCTTTTAGTACCTTGGAGATTAGTACATATACATTTTCAGTACCCGTTTATGAATTACACATTTACACATTTTAACATAAACAAAAAAAATGTAGAGTACGCAATCTTCAATTATCAATTACCAATTACCAATTATCCCCTAATAAAAATAAAAAAGATAATGGGAGAGTTGGAAACTAATGTTAATTGGAAACTCATTGATGGGCCACATAAAAAAAAAAAAGAGCAGCTCATTGATTTATAAATAGTAGGCCCATTAAGAGTCCATGGACTCGTATAAACACCATCTAAATCTGATAGCCGACTTGAAGAAAACTCCGGGTCGGTCAGTGACCCGACTAATTTATCTCAATCACCGATCGATTCGAGAGATGTGCAAAATTTGTTGATATGAAGCTCTAATAGAAGTTGCTGAATTCGATTATAAAATCAAAAAGATGATAGTTACGTTGAGTATGTTTCAAAGCGATGGTAGCGCAAAAGATAATTAATATCAGCGGAAGGGAAAAGCTTCGGAATTGGAGGAAGAAGCTGAGGAAAAGCTTTGGCTCTGGTGGGTACAGAGGAGAGATATAACCGTAATTTGTTTAAGATTATATGAGATTGATTCTGATTTGTTGGCATAAATATCGAAACCATTTATTTAGGTAGTCAACAACACGTCCGTACGTAAATTTTTTAAAAAACAACAACATTCGTTGGTCTCGAGAATTAGTCTTCTTCTTGATGCGGCAGCGGCTGCGGTTGAGAGAGGCTTTTGATTTTTATAGGGATAATATTTTTAGTGTTGTGTAGATATTTTTAGAATTTATTATAGCAGATGAAAGAGATCAAGTTAACAAGCAGATGAAAATACAAGTTCACAAATCCATCTTTCGAATAGAACAAGATTTAGGATCTCACTTGTTTTGTTGGTGGGTTTGCTAAACACCTAGACAGCAGAAAAGAGAAGTAGAACATCATTTTCAGGTTTTGGTAATGACCCCACTAAACAAAATCTAAAACAGCTCCTCGAATCAACACATTCATTATTCTTCAGGAGAAGATCCTGAAAAGAAAACCGCCATGTGTGGCAAAGAAGGGAGCAAATTAAAGACGAGAGATTCAACAGCCATTAGCTTGATCAATATGTTCAGCGACGGTCCTGATGAATCCTTCAACGGGTCTCCTATTGTGTCACCTATCACCGCTGCCTTGTGTGGCTCTGACCCTTTCGGTCCTAAGCTCCTCGCGTGCTCTGATGCACCGGCCTGCACACAGTTTCGCAATCGTTAAATTTCTTTGATTTGTTTGGTTTTCACGCAATTCTCAAAAGGCTTCCTTACCTCAATGTACTTCTTGGCATTGTCCCACGCTCCACCAGTGTTAGATGCGGATATCGCAATCTGTTTAGATAAACAGGTTATCTCAATAAAAGTCTAAAAGTTTATATCACAAGATACCGATATGGAAATGAGGAGAAGAAAACCGGAAACTCGAAGGTTTACTGGTTCACAAGCTTTATTACCTGAACTCCGGAGATAAGGGAGCCAGCGAGGACCCCTGAGAGGGTCTCAACGCCGAAGAAGAAACCAACAATCAAAGGCGTTAGCATGACAAGGCAACCGGGGGGAATCATTTCCTTGATGGAAGCATCAGTTGAGATCTTGACGCAGGTTTACCTACGGTTATGTGCACGTTTCTTACTATACAACTTTTTATACGAACCGTTCAACTTTAATTTACCACCGATCCAACGATTTGTAACGTGTTGCTAGTCTTGAAACTTTTTATCGCGGTGGATAGGATATAATGCCACGTCACATACACGTGGCTTAGGGCATATGCAACGCAATAACTTTTGTAATGATCTTAGAATTAAAATATTAGAAAATAAGTAAATAGTAGAAGAACAGGTGAGTAAAAGTTCTTGCCCAAGAACTGTTCTTCCTCAAGTCTTAGTGCCACGTAAACTTTTTTGGTTTGTTTTAGTGTAGTATTCTCTGCATTTAATTCATAGCTTTTATTTTAATAATAAAACCATTTTTAAGATCTATCTAAGGTGATATACCTTTAAAGATGGTCTTAGGCTCACTAAATAAAATGTTCGAAACTCTCTCTCACTATAGAAGAAGCCTTGTCGTATTTTACCTTTTTCTTCTCGTATACTGGACTAAAAGATAAAACATTTGAGCTATTTTGGTTTCGGATTTCAATCATCAATCCAATGATCTGTTTCAGAATGGATTTGCTGAATTTTCCTGAGTCCAAAATATGTTCATTTCAGTATTAGTCAGGAAACATTGAAAAAGGAAACCAATCAATTATTTTCAATTAAATTATGGGACCTTTATTATTATATAGTCAATGTGAATTGGATCGTTTCGCTTCATTACGGTATCGGTTCGGGAAGGTTGAATTTTTATATATTAATACAATGATACAGTGCAAGTCTAGTCAACACTCTCATCTTTCTCCAACTTACGTCTACTTTTCTTGTTTTTTTTCTTCCTCGACGTCTACATTCATACCATGCCGTAAAAGGTCATATACACTTATATCTTTGTACGTGTCTCAAGTGCCGTTCGTGGCTTCGTGCTACCTAATCAATCATCAAGTCATCAGATAACCCAAAAAAAAAAAAAAATAGAACAGTAGACTTCTTTTTTTTTTCCCTCAAACAGTAGAACAGTAGACTTTTGCAGAGTAATTAATAATATCTGAACAAATATTATGTAACAATCTTGGTCCTGCGACCATGTCATATATTTTCAGTCCCATCCAGAAGTATATAACTTCCAACTAGCTGAAACAATTTATGTGTCACTCATGCAGCGCAGTGCGTCTATGCGTGACAAAGATGCGGCGCATTCTCGATGAGTTGTTTACGCTCCTCCACAGCATGATAGACTAGCGATGGTCATGGGAAAGAGGAGAAGAGGTTTAATTATGAATGAAACCAAAATTGGAAATATTCACTAAATGACGATTTCGTAATCTCAGCTTAACATTTATAGGCGTTAACATCATAGAGAGTTCCTTTTTGAAAGTTTGACTCTGTGGTTAAGATATTAATCAAAAATCTTCTATCCATAATTCTATATAGTATGTAAATTAATTACCCAAATCTCTTCAAACGACATTAAAGTTGGTTCTTATCAGCTCTATATATATAGCTACTCATATTTTTGTTTGCTAAGTATTAATATTATCTCCAAGCGACTGTTTGATATCAAGGCCAAAATCATATATACATAATACCACTACGATCAAATAAAGAGAGAGTTCTTTGTTAAAAATGATATTGTATTACACCCAAAAAAAAAAAAAAAAAATTATATTGTACTACATCAAATAAATTTTTCTTCCAGACTAGCTATAGAAGATATTTCAAAACAAACAATAGATTCCTTTAATATCTTCAAATTAAATTATAAAATTAACATAAAAATTAAAAGAAACTACATGCATATTTGTACAAAAGTAATATTGGCTACAAAGTAAATCATATTTTACCTCTTAACAAGTAAAATAATTTAAAATGATCAAAATATGCAAAATCATTTTTTTTAACAATCCATAACTTGGCAATTTAAAGTGGCATAAATTCGATGAATTATTAGCTAGCCGGTGGTTAGAATTGAATATACGATAATGTTCTAAGAAAAGTTGGTTGATGAAAATATTCATACCGATCCATCCAACCTATGTTGCTATTACAATGGACATATGATATATATTAGGGCCGGCCTCATAATATTATTGGTAAAATCAGGTCACCAAATTTACGAGCAGTAGTAGATAACCATTTTTTGTTTTTGGTAGGAACTATGAATTAGATAAGCCCATTTTATCCATATCTTTTTATTTAAGAAAAGCGAAGCTGCTAGCTACACGTTAATTATGGGTCCGTTTTTTCAAGATAACAAGGGCCAGCCGTTAAATTGAATTTAAATCTCATATATTTTCATTTATAAAATAGCTTCAGACAAGCAGGACTAAAAAATAAAATAACCAGATCTGTGAACGGAGACAGAGACATACTAGTATGAGTTTGTTCAAAGTCAACGATAGAAACGGTTACAAGATCATCGAATGACAGAGAGACACGTGGCAGATGGAGCTGAATTTAAGTTGGGATGATCTCATAATCTTGACCATCCACCAATAAAAAGCTTGAGTAAATGCGTAGATGGATAAAAAACGGTGAAGTTTCCAACAAAATCTCTGATTCAGCTTTCTATAATCAGTCGTTCCCATTATCTCTCTCTATTCATATTATAGATTATAGATAGTTGTATCCTCTCAACGATCTTTCTTCTTTAACAAAGCATTATTCTTCACCTTTACCACACAAAAAAAAAAGAAAGAGAAATGGCCAAAGAAAATGGTTTTATAGGATCAATCGATCAAGGAACCACCAGCACCAGATTCATCATCTACGACCACCATGCTCGTGCTGTTGCATCTCATCAAGTCGAGTTCACTCAGTTCTATCCCGAAGCTGGGTATAATTAATCTCTCTCTCTGCCTTTTTTTTGGGTTTAAATTCATTGGTTATGACAAGTAGGTGAGACTTATTTATGGTGGATGATCCCGATCTTGTCTGATTGCAAACTATTTCCGTATCTCCATCCATCAAACCAAAGTTTTTTTTTTTTTTCCAAATTACATTCTCGATCATCTCCAAGATCCATGGATTAGTCAAATCCCTGCTCTTGTTTAGTGGTATTTGATATATCTTGTTGTTGAAGTCTGTGATTTTTTTTTTGTGATTGAAGATGGGTGGAACACGATCCTATGGAGATACTGGAAAGTGTGAAAGTGTGCATTGCAAAGGCTCTCGACAAAGCCACTGCCGATGGACACAACGTCGACGGCGGCTTGAAGGCCATTGGGCTGACAGATCAGAGAGAGACAACTGTTGTTTGGAGCAAATCCACTGGCCTTCCTCTCCACAAAGCTATTGTGTGGATGGATGCTCGTACCAGTTCCATCTGCAGGTACATAATACATACTTTCTTTTTTTTTTTTAATCAAATTCATGGGTTGATCCCTTTCTTTGTTTTCTGTTCTGTCTTCTTGTATGGTTTGTCTACTATATCATCATCTTCATGGTTGCTGAGGGATTTGGTTTCTGATGAAAGCCTTTTTCATGATCTTCACAGGAGACTAGAAAAAGAACTCTCGGGAGGAAGATCCCATTTTGTGGAGTCTTGTGGCTTGCCAATAAGCACATATTTCTCTGCCATGAAGCTGCTTTGGCTCATGGAGAATGTGGATGACGTCAAAGACGCTATCAAGAAAGGTGATGCCATCTTTGGCACTATCGACACATGGTTGATCTGGAACATGACTGGTGGTGTGGATGGCGGCCTACATGTCACTGATGTCACCAATGCCTCTCGCACAATGCTCATGAACCTCAAAACCTTGAACTGGGACCAGGACACTTTGAAGACACTTGGCATACCAGCTGAAATCTTGCCTAAGATTGTGAGCAATTCAGAAGTGATTGGAGAAATCTGCAAAGGCTGGCCTATTCCCGGTATCAAGATTGCTGGATGTCTTGGTGATCAGCATGCCGCGATGTTGGGACAAGCTTGCAGAAAAGGCGAGGCCAAGAGTACATATGGAACCGGCGCTTTCATTCTTCTCAACACCGGAGAAGTGCCAATCAAATCAGGCCATGGACTTCTGACCACACTGGCCTACAAGCTCGGGCCTCAAGCACATACCAACTATGCACTGGAGGGTTCGATTGCCATAGCAGGAGCTGCTGTTCAGTGGCTTAGAGACAGCCTTGGGATAATCAAAAGCGCCTCTGAAATCGAAGATTTGGCAGCAATGGTAGATTCTACAGGAGGAGTGTACTTTGTGCCAGCGTTCAATGGCTTGTTTGCGCCTTGGTGGAGAGAGGACGCACGCGGTGTTTGCATTGGAATCACGAGGTTCACCAACAAGTCTCACATTGCTCGGGCAGTACTGGAGAGCATGTGTTTCCAAGTGAAAGACGTCCTTGACTCCATGAACAAAGATGCAGGTGAAAAGGGTTCCCTAGATAACGAGAAAGGGGAGTTCTTGCTCAGAGTTGATGGTGGTGCCACAGCTAATAACCTTCTGATGCAGATTCAGGTATGTTCTGATCTCTGCTCTTTTTCTCGTATGAATCTGATTCTGATGATTGTGTAGTTTTGTTCGAACGTTAATCTCATTCTCTTGTCATCTCCTTCAAAATGTTGCAGGCTGATTTGATGGGGAGTCCGGTGGTGAGGCCTGTGGACATAGAGACAACAGCACTAGGAGCAGCCTATGCAGCTGGGTTGGCTGTGGGATTCTGGAAGGAAGCAGACATATTCGAGTCAGGAGAGAAGGCGAAGAACTCCAAAGTTTTCAGACCTGCTATGGAAGAAGAAACCAGGAAGAAGAAAGTGGCGTCTTGGTGCAAAGCAGTGGAAAGAACATTTGATCTCGCTGATCTCTCTATCTAAAACTTGAATCATTTGATCACTGAGATTACTTCTTATTTACCACAGTTGGGCTCTGTTTTCCAAGTCTTATTATGTTTAACGTCTAATATATGTTGAGTAAACCGTCTTTGAATGATTTATATATCAATGCTTAATTCTGTTGGAAGTAAGATTGCATTTGCATCATAATAAGACATGAGAGAGCTTGTGGTCAAACCCTTAAATTTGCAGAAACATCAACAGATGACAGCAATAAAGATGTATAACCTGCATTATCTCAATAATCTAACTCAGTAACTGAACCCAAAGTTATCCTTTGGGACGCCATACACATAAGTAATACTGTCCCAAACAATCGAAACTAGTGAAGTGGCTACACAAATCACAGTTTAGCTTGTGGAATAGCTATCATTTCTCCAAAAAGCCATTGGGTAACATGTGGTAGATGTTGGTTATGACTTGATTAAAAGATATTGACTGGGTAAGAATAATAAACGACACATGGTCGATCAAAGTGGTGTTTTTGTCAACTCTTCTCCTTTGACAAATAGCATTCAATGTAGTAACGTTCAAAAACTCATCCCCTACGTCAAGCCCTCTCTGAATATATATATATATGAGTCATTATCATTCACGATGCAAAGTTGTTGTTTTTCTGCTTAGATCACAGGTTTGTTTTGTTTTTCTCTTAAACTTTCATACTTTTCATAGATAGAAAAAACTTACAACATCTCTTAAACACATATATAGAGATTGCACACTTGCACACATAGTTTCTTTGCCATAACTCTAGATACTAGGATCACTTACACAAGCAACACCACTTGTGTATAGGTTCCAGCAACTCCTAACAACTCTTTACTATTCAGACCTAACAGCTTCTCTTGTTATTCTAACTTGGTACTTAGCTAACTTAAGAGTACATCAAGTCTACGAATGGGTCACAACAAAAACCATCTAGACATTTTCTGTTGGGCCAAAAACCAAATCTGCAGGCCCAAACACATCTTAACCCAAAACAACTAAACCTTGACTTCTTCTTCTACGTTTCCTTTCGTCAACCTTCGACGCTTCTTCTCTCTTTCTAGATTCTGGGTTTCATCACACCAACCCACCTCTTTACTCCCTTGTTCTTCATTCCTTTCTCATTGACATCGTTCTTCTTCTTTGCAGGATCAATCGGAGAGTTCAATCTCAACACTCCCTCTTGAGCTCTTCGATTGATATCTAGATTTGATTTTAAAACAGTGAAATTTGATACCTTTGGTTTCAGTTGAACGAACGCAGATTTCACCGGAGGTGCTCTTCTTAGTGCATCAGCATAGCTCACAGGTACTTTCAATTTCATTGTCTTTCTTTCATTTGAGATCTCCATTGGACTTGCTTCTTCGGTTTTCGTTGCTCCCTCTGAAGTCATAGCCTTCTTACTTTCTCGCTTCTCTTCTTCTTCATCTAACTTCAGCCTTTTCTTAGGTTTCATTGCTCCCTTTTGAGCTTTTATCTCCTCAATCTTGTTCTGTTCTGCCTCAGTCCCAACTAACCTCACTTTAGTCTTCTTTTGCAGATACTCGGAATTGAAATCGATGCCTCCAAACTTGACTGCACTTGATTTTTCAATTAGAGGTAAATCTCTTACCTCTTCCTTGTTTTGCTTTTGAAACTTTAGCGTCTGGTTCTTGACTTCACTTTTGCCAATGATTTCCTTCTTTTGAAACCCGAATCCTTTATACTTTGACACTTGATTCTTCTTCTCTATTTCTTGATTCTTTTCTGCATCCTTTTTGCAGGTCTCTTCTCTAGTCCACTTTTGCTCCCTCTCAATCTTAGGTGAGCATTCAACTTTCTCCATCGTGTCTCCTTTTAACACCACATTGTTCAGCTTGGTTCCTTGAACCACATATTTGGTTTCTTTAGCTTTGTTTTCTTCTTTTCCAAGTTCAGAACCACTCTGGTTCTTACCTTTACTCACTGATTTTCCTTTCACTGCATCAGCTCCGATCTTCTTTGGTTGATACATCACAGATTTGTTCTTCTCTTCAGCTTTTTTCTCAGTACACCAAGATTGCATCATCTTTTGATTTTCGACTTCAGTGTGTCCAGCATCTTGACGACCAGATTCAACATTTTCTTTCGCAACCACCATTGTAGCTTCTTCATTTGCTGACATTTTTAGATGGAAACTCTTCTTGATCATTGGTATCTCTGCTATCTTTCTCCCAGCTGGATCATGAATGGTACAGCCTCTTTGATCGAAGGTAACATCATAGTCATTTTCAATCATTTGAGAAACACTTAATAGATTTTTGGTGATCTGTGGAACTAGAAGAACATCTCTGATGATTCTCTTGTCCTTTTTTGTCATGACTTCAATGTCTCCTTTTCCTTTTGTTGTCAGCACAGCTCCATTACCTACACGTATAGGAACATTGAAGCTTGTGTTGAGATTTGAGAATAGCTTTTCATCTGAAGACATATGATTTGTGCATCCACTATCAATGAGCCAGACATTCTCTCCAGGTGATTCTTGATCCTCTTGTCTTGCAGTAAACATGTGGTAGCTTTCTTCTGCTTCATTGTCTTCTTGGTTGACTTGTGCTTGTTCTCCATTCTTGACTTTGCAGTCTTTTATTAGATGACCCACTTTGCCACAGTGAAAACAACTCCAATTCCTAGTGTCTCTGTTTTTGTTGAAATCAGGTCTGATTTTTCCACTCTTAATCCAACATACATCTTCATTGTGATTATCTCTTTTGCAGTAACCACACCATCTTTTTGCTCTGTAACTCGTTTGACCTGAATTCTCTTTGTTCTTGTCTTCCACATTTAAACTTCTGAACCGTGCATGAAAGGCTCCTTCTGCATCTTCTTCATCTTCAGGGAAGAATTTCTTTTCATGTGCCTCAAGAGATCCAAGCAGCTCAGCATAGGTAACTGTTTGTAAATCCTTAGTTTCTTCCATTAAGGATGACAGACCAGCATAACTTTTTGGCATAGAGGCTAGCATTTTTACCACTAAATCAAAGTTTGATTTCCCTTCACCTAGAGCTCTCATCTAATTTGCTACAGCCTGAATCCTATCCGAGTAAGTCTTAACTTTCTCCCCTTCTTTCATTTTCAAGTTTTCAAATTCCCTTCTTAAAGACTGAAGTCTAACAGTTTTAACTTTCTCATTACCTTGGTAAGAGTGCTCCAGGAGTTTCCATGCTTGGTGTGATGAAGATGCAGAGAGGATCTTGTCAAAGACCACATCAGCCACAGCATGCTGAATAATTTGGAGAGCAGCAGTGTCTTTAGCTTTTAGGGCCTTCAGGGCAGCATCTTTTCCTTTATCTGGAGTTTCAGTTGATTGAGTTGTAGCTTCTGGTACTCCATCTTTGACGACTTCCCATAGATCTTTATTCAAGAGTGTAGTTTTCATTCTTGCAGCCCAGAACTCATAGTTCTGACCATCAAAGACTGCAACCAGTTGAGAGGACTGCAAGTTCAACGCCATGTGAGTTCTTCCTTTACTTTGACTTTTCTTCTTCTTATCTTAAACAGGTTCCAAGAACAAGATGAGCTCTGATACCATGTTGTTTTTCTGCTTAGATCACAGGTTTGTTTTGTTTTTCTCTTAAACTTTCATACTTTTCATAGATAGAAAAAACTTACAACATCTCTTAAACACATATATAGAGATTGCACACTTGCACACATAGTTTCTTTGCCATAACTCTAGATACTAGGATCACTTACACAAGCAACACCACTTGTGTATAGGTTCCAGCAACTCCTAACAACTCTTTACTATTCAGACCTAACAGCTTCTCTTGTTATTCTAACTTGGTACTTAGCTAACTTAAGAGTACATCAAGTCTACGAATGGGTCACAACAAAAACCATCTAGACATTTTCTGTTGGGCCAAAAACCAAATCTGCAGGCCCAAACACATCTTAACCCAAAACAACTAAACCTTGACTTCTTCTTCTACGTTTCCTTTCGTCAACCTTCGACGCTTCTTCTCTCTTTCTAGATTCTGGGTTTCATCACACCAACCCACCTCTTTACTCCCTTGTTCTTCATTCCTTTCTCATTGACATCGTTCTTCTTCTTTGCAGGATCAATCGGAGAGTTCAATCTCAACAAAAGTTCATTGATAAACCACAGACATACATATATACTTTCCCAAGAGGCAGAACAATGTAATCTCTCCAAACATGTACAAACGTTACAAGAGTACTTTCCACGCAACAGCCACCCAATGCTATGTGCATGTGTTTTGAACCAAACGGACAAAAGCGTCAACAAGGTGGAACCATCCTTGGCGCCAAGGAGAATCAAAGCATATAAACACAAAGATTCCAACCAGAACAGTCACATACGTCACGCCAAGGCTCCAATAGAAGGCCACGGCATCAATGTTAGCTTTATCGTTTATTAATATTTCTTCATCTGGTTCTTTCCAATTGTCTGTGTCACAGCTTCTGTTGGTTAGTGGTCCACAAAGAAGAGGGTTGCCCAGATAGCTGTTCTCACCAAAGGTGTTGAACTGCTTTCCTTGAGGAATGGAGCCAGATAAGTTGTTGTAAGACACATTAAAAACAGCTAGAGAATTAATGAGCCCTGTCAGGGGAGTGGGGATAGGACCGTAAAGCTTGTTAAAGGAAAGATCAAGGCTCTCAATGTCCTTCAACTGGGAGAAGCTTTCAGGAATAGAACCCACCAAGGAATTTTGAGACAGATTTAATGAACGAGTTCTTCCGGGATCGAGTCCAAACATAGCTTCTTCTTGTCTATCAAAAATGTTTATTATTATTCACCTACGTGATATGGATTCTGATATTATCTTATTCATTCTCAAGTTTTTTTTTTTTTTTATATATATAATTAAAATCGGTTGTTTACAATCTCTAATAGTCGATTGCTATGATCATCTGACCATCTACGGTAATCAATTTTTGAATCTCTAGTTAACTACAATAAACGCAAGTCACCTCAATTCAGCTGTTGTAACGGTAACTTTTTATTATCGATATAAACAATTTCCTTTTTTTATATTTGTATGAGTAATTTCCTTTTCTTTGAACAATTCCTTCTTTTTTTTCCGTTGGCAACCTTTATATAACAAAATAGCTTCTTTGAGAAATCATAATTCCTCTTTCTTCGAAAACAAAAATCCACCTTCTTCTTCTTTTGTCTTTTTAGTCTCTGTTTCTTCTTGATCAAGTTCTGTTCCTCGAACTCACCGATCACGAGAACGTCAAAGCTCGATGATCACCATCCATCTGCTCCAATGCCGTCGGAACTGTAACTCATGTTTGATCACACCATTAAAGATCTCGCCACTGTTCTTATCCTCTCTCTCTGTTTTTTTGCTTTTCACGATCTCTGGAAAATCATGGAGGATCTCACCGAGGATCAGAGGTAGTGACGCAAACCATGCATGGATGATGCATCATATGCGCCGTTGTCACGACTCACGAGAGCCAGGTTTGTTGCTTCTCGCTTAGTTTCCTATTTGATATCTTGGAACCTTGGATTTTTAATTCTTAGCGTAACTTGCTGCACAAAAAAAGGTCTCTTTGAGTTAGGTCAATCAATATTTAGTTTTCTAAACGCAGTTTCATCGGAGGAACTAGAGTTTGCAAATTGTAGTAGTTTTACGAAATTGACCTAACCTGTAGTTTGTCTTGTCCGTTATCACTTTGTTTCATAATTAGTTTTCTTCTTGTTATTGTAGGTTCCTATTCTTGATTCGCCAAATTAATCAGTGGGTGCAGCCCCAAGACTGTTTGGTTTCACTGGAATGATAGACAACACATTTTGCTATTGCTTGGTAACGAATTTCTATCCTTTCTTTCTTTTTCCTTTTTAAAAATTAATAATTATTTATTTGGTAGTAAAAATGTTTTTTTCTTATAGTCGGATTTTTTCAAAAACTTTTTTGTGTTTGTTTAAATTTTTTTTTTTATTGTTTTGGATACTAAATTTATATAATGATAAGAAAACTAACCGGATTTTGGATCCAGCATTAGTCGTTAGTGATTCCAAACATTCAACTTGTTTTTCCTATTATTATGTAGATTTAGCATTCAAGTTTTTAATTCGGATTCTTAAAAATAGTTTTTGAAATTTTGATTTTGTTTCTTTTCGAATTTTTTTCTTGTATTTGTTTTGTTTAAATTTTTTTTATTGTTTTGGATACTAGTTACATAATGATATGAAAACTAACCGGATTTTGGATCCAGCATTAGTCGTTAGCGATTCCAAACATTCAACTTGTTTTCCTATTATTATGTAGATTTAGCATTCAAATTTTTGCAAACAAACCACCAAAAAGGTTGGTAGATAAGTATGAGGGTTTGCAATTCTTGAAACGGATGAAACAAGGAAAGATTCAGGGGAGCAAAATTCGAACTATGTAGGGAGAGAGCAATGAGTCGTCGGCTTTTAAGATGGCACTTGATTCTTTCCCAACGACAACAATTGCTGTTTCTAGAAAGATGGACAGAATCAGGTGATACCGAGATCAAAAAGGCTTTAAGAAACAGAAGTAAAACAAACATGACATACAAAATCAACAAACGAGGATCAAAGCCACTTTTGATGAAAACAACAAATGTACCTGAAATGCCGTGAATTTCGCAAACCCTCTCCAATCTTCCATCATATAAAGTGATAACTGAAACATCTGTGATAGTCTTAGAAACTGCAAAACATGGTAAGTTCCTCCTTGTTTGCACTATGCGCACATTCCTGATTGGACCGTTTGGTCGTCTTCATCACTAAGCTCAAGAATTCCAACAACCGTAATTCTCGATTTCATAAAACCGCACTTTGAATTCTCGAATCCCTCGCCTCGATTATACTCATACCAAGCACTCGTCTTCATCTCTAAGCTCGACGACACTCGTTCAAAAGAATCCCAATTCCGATTTTGTTATTCAATTATTTTGTTTGCTTCAATCAAAATTTAAGTCTAAAAATATATCGTGTTCCCTCGTTTTTCTTCACCTCAAAACTGGGCCTCCCTAGCCCTTGCTTCTTTTTTAAGCAGATGGGCTCTTAATGAGCCTTCCCTTGACCATAAAATTGTTCTTTCGTTGTTCATTTGCCTTTTCTGGAAGTCAATGTGATCAACAATGTCTTATTTTGGTTGACCATGCTCAACATTGTTTCAAAGTAAATTTTTTTGTTAGATGGTATATGTCTTTAATATGAACTTTTTTATTGAAAAAAAAAAAAATCTTTCAAATTTCTTTTTAACAGCACCTATTTTATTTTTGTTAGGGTTTTTAGTTTTCAGAATTAAAATTATTTTGGTTATTACAAATTTTAATATCTACTAACTTCCTATTAAGGGTGTTAGTTGGATACCTTTTTAATCAGAAACTTCCGAGCAATTAATGTTAGTTTTTTCTATCAGTTCCCACTGAAACAGCGAAAATCTAAGAAAAAAAAGTGGACAAATGGGAATAATTAAGAAAGAGTGTTATATATTTTTTTACTCAAGCCTAAAAGAAATACTAATAAACAAGGTTTCAATGGAAACATAACATAAAGTTCAAAGAGTCAAATGGAAGCAAAGCTAAGGAAGAAAGAAAAAACGTGAAGTCTGAAGAAAAAGGAGAGAAAAAATCTTCGCTTTTTGCCTACATACTTCCTTCACGCAACCTAAGGGCCATTACTTTTTTCTCTTTTCTTTTTCAAATCGTTTTATATGTTGAACATTTCTATTTCTTTGTCCTCCACTAAATAAATAGGATGCATGATGTATCTCATATATTACGTTTCAACAACAATACAAAATGTAAGGTAAGAAGAAGTAAACTTAATCACAATCTATAAGAAAACAACAACAACAACAACAAAAACTTTATCGCTTCTATTAATACTCAACGATGTACCGGTTTTAATTCATTTAATTTTTACTTTTCAAATTTTGAACCTCCATAAATTTTGTAGGGGAAGTTCTGATGCCCTTCTCGTCACTGCATTTATTTCTTTGGGAAATTCAAAATTCGAAAAATCATAAAATCATGGACGTGGTTAATTACGCTTATTACATTCACGGCCAGGATCAATCATTACGCATCTTGCCTACAAAGATTATAACATTAACATTCTAGGTTTTCTTTTGTATTACATATCATTTCGTCAACCACGTCTAAATTATAGTGTACAAAAATAAAAAATATATATAACGTTTGTGTACAAGGAAATATAAAGTGGAATATCATAGACTAGTGGAATGCTTTGAAAATATCATTAAGTTGCTTGCCGAGTCAACAATGAACCGACTAAATTAAATGTTTCAATATCACATATTCATCTGTATGATATTGTTCCCAGGTACTGAATTGGCAACACAGGGCTTCTAATAATAATGTATTGCTAGCTTTGGCGTTGACCTTGACATTATAATCATCTATAAACAGTTTAAATCCGTGTTCGAATCATAAATATTAGTGAATTATTAGCAACTAAATAATTATTTATTTTTAGTCAACTTATCAACTAAAAAATTCCAGACGTGCAAAGTCAAAGCATATTAGCCACTTTTGTTAATCACGAAATTTAATATGTTGGCAAAAATGTCAATAAAAACACAAACACACAAGAGGGTCTTCTTTAAATAATTGTGCAGTAGGCAGACGAATGTCTTTTAGACAAAAACAAAAAAACAATTTTCTCTTCTCTTCTCAAAGTTTCAACTACACACATCTCTTTAGTCATCATCTTAACCACCATGAGCCACCAGCACCAGCAGCCGCCGAGCTATGCCACCGACCCAAACACCATGTTTGTTCAAGCAGACCCTTCTAATTTCCGTAACATCGTCCAAAAGCTCACCGGAGCACCACCCGATATCTCCTCCTCCTCCTCCTTCTCCACCGTCTCCGCCGCACACCAGAAGCTTCCACTAACTCCCAAAAAGCCAGCGTTCAAGCTCCACGAACGGCGTCAATCATCAAAGAAAATGGAGCTGAAGGTCAACAACATCACAAACCCCAAGGACGCTTTCAGCCATTTCCACCGAGGATTCCTCGTCTCTCCCGTCTCTCACCTGGACCCATACTGGGCGCGCGTGAGTCCACATTCAGCGCGTGAGGAACACCACGCGCAACCGGACAAGGAAGAGCAAAAAGCCATAGCGGATAAAGGGTTCTACTTCCTTCCGAGTCCGAGAAGCGGCGCTGAGCCAGCACCGGAGCTTTTGCCACTGTTTCCTCTTCGTTCTCCTAACGGCACTACTCACCGGATTCATGAAGATAATTATCGCGACTCTTGATATCATTAGAGCTCTCTAATCGTAATTTGAGTTCAATTAGGCTATTTTAATCGTAAGTTGGGGTGACACGTGATATTTGCTGTTGCTTTTTACTATTTTTGTTAGGGCTATCGTTAATATCCGTTTTCCATTTAACCTAGACTCCTTTTTCTTCTATTATCCTTCATTAAACGTTTTTTGAAGGGTCAACTATTTCGGCGCGTGTAGTCCACTTCCTTTTAGAATATTAAAATCTTATTTTATACGCGGCAGTTTCTTACATTAGTCAAGGAAGACATCATTTCACGAATATATATTAACGTCTTTTTAGATCTTTTATCTAATTTGTGTTTGTAAACAACGATTAATACGTGGGATCCAAAAACACACGCTATGTAGTTTCGAATATATAGAAAAGAAGGATAATCAGAATCACAATTCTCAATTTTTTTAAAAAAACTCGTTGACAAGTCTACATGCAACTATGAAACGTAATCTTCGTATCTTAAATTGTCCTTACAATAAAGTTGATGATGTATGTATGGAGGAGATAAATGAAAAGATAGGTTACATAGGCCGACTCTAATAGATACAAAAATGTGTTGACTTTTTGGTTAAGAAAGAAACTACAAAAGCTAAATTCTCTGTGGTGATAGGGTACAGTGTAACACCGCTCCAATTCAATTGTTTGTGTGCCAGCCGTTAGATTTAATGACAAAGCTGTGACGCAGAATGAAGCGGCGCCTATTTCCTCTGCAGATTCAACGGCTACGATTCAATTCTCCTGCTGAAATATAATGCACTTTTTTTTTTTTTTGAGTATCGATATTAAATAGATGTTACTTGTAACAGAGGGTGTCTCTGCATCTCTCTTTAAAGTCTGTTGTCAGTCTATCTTCGAACTCTGCCCCTCAGGTGTAATCCATATTTCGAACCTCTGCTCAAATCCTAGCCGTCCATTTGTCTTACAAAATACATAACTCAAGTCCCATCCAAAGCTCATTTAAAGACCAAAAGATCATCATTCAAAATCTGGTCTATTTGGGCCTGAAGTAAATAAATTAATAGAGCTTGTCAAGAATGAAACCCATTAAAGTTCTTGAATACCAAATCAAGGCTCCTTTCATTTTAGTTTGTGTCAACAAATGTTCGAAAGTTTTTCTGCTTGACAATAGCGGTTAACCATGGAAACTTAAAAGTTCGACTTTTCCTTTTGAAGTTTTTAGTTTTGTGGAGGGAACATAAATATTAAGTAAACGTGACACACTATAAATGAAGAAATACCATATTCTATATTCACTCAACTAAATTTCTTTATTTGGTTGTTCATGAAAAGATTTATACATTAACACACAAGAAAACCGAATGATTTGTTGGGATTTAGGTCCAGACTCCAAAGATTGGAGGTTTTACATTAGACCTCCAAGAAGCAACCAGCTTGAACATGACCAACATGTGTTTCCAATTTTACCCATCGTGCGCTACTTAAATCACATGAATACCCTACGGTGGCTTCACCGTATCCAGCCAATGCCTTGCCGTTGCCGATCACAATCAGCTTCCCCGGCCTCACTGCCACCACGTAAGTCACGTTGTACACATCAGCAGGGATCTGGCCCACCTTCTGCCACGTGTCAGCTAAAAACATCATCACATCGCCACGCCAGCACGCGTACAAATCTCCGTTTTCACCGGCGGCGCAGATCGGAGAGCTAACGGTGTCGTCGAGGAAGTCATCCGTAAGTGGACCCCATTGCCACGTAGACACATAAAACGATTCAGTGGTTTTACTGAATTGCCCCTGTTCCTCGGTGGCATATCCACCGATGACCTGGAATCTGCCAGCGTGGAATATCGCTTTGCACTCGTCTCGTTCTCGCGCCATATCCGGCAAAAACGTCCACTTGTCTTCTGCCACATCATACACTATTGCTGACGTCAGCGCACATTTCTCTTCGTCGTGTCCACCCGCAACCAACACCGTCCGATCCGAATCCGAAGCGCATCCGAAGAAGGATCTCCGTGCACCTGGCATGGTTGCTCCCACGCGCCATTTGGAAGTGAGGAAACTGAAGACGAAGACCGAGTCAGAGGCTTGCCACGTAACCGGGTCAAGGCCACCCAAGACAATAAGATCGGATCCGACAGAAACCAATCTACAGAACAGAGGAAGTCCTTTGGCTTGACCCGGAATCCGAGGAAGCTCCGTCCAAAGACCCGACCCGGATTCGAGAACAGAGACCCGGTATTCAGGCGTAGCGAAAATCTTTCCGGATCCAGAGGAGTCTTCGACACGAGCCTGTGAGAGAATAAGAAGCTCTTGGCTATGGCGTGAAGCTTTTCGCTGATGTAAAAAGTCAGAGAGAGAGACTTCACGGTTCCAGCCTCTGCAAACGGAGGCGATGACAGGGAACTGTTTGTAGGAGGCGCGAAGGAGACACTCGCGAGCAACGTCGTCGGGAAGATTGGGGATAAGTTCCATCGAGAAAGTCTGAAAGAGTGGAGCTTTTTGTTTATCTGTTGTGGAAAAGTGAAGAAGATTGAACCTTTAGAAGAGTGAGAGATATTGAAACAGTTTTAGTAAAAGAGGGGTTTCGGATTGAGAGAAGGTTGAAGATGATGATGATGATGATGATGATGATGATGATGAGGAGAGTGTGCCGCTTTATAGATATTTGAAGATAAGTGTTTCTAGAAACTTGTTGATTCATTCATCGTTTTTTTGTTTTAATACAAGTTTTTGTCAAGTGTATTTAAAATAAAATGAAATGAAGATAACGGAATTTGAGTTAGTATAGGCAAAAACGGTTAATGGTTGTGTGAGCTTAAAGATGGAGACTTTTTTTTCTTTTTTTTTCTTCTCTTAAAGATGGAGACTTGGATCAATTGGGACAAGTTGATGACTGTCATATCCAATTTTATTTTCTCCTGAAATATTTTTTTGATTTATATTTATATCTAAATGTTTTTTCTGTGATATTCTATTTGAATTCCTGTCAACAACAGAATACAATATATCCAAACATTAGATGGGACGGTTACATAGATGGTAAAATATAATACCGAATAAGGAGGCCTTTGGACTAATACTGATTCTAGTTTTGGGTTTTGATATTTCACTCTGTTGTATATCTAGTGCTGTACAATATACCCAACTGTTGAAGAATATACACTTAATTACTAGTGTGCAACAAAGAACAATTACTTTTAGGAGTGAATCCAAATATTTTTCGGCAACAAACAATAAAAAAAATTAATTTTAAGGATAAATTAAAACTAATTACCACTTACATATTAAAGACTGTACTTTTTGAATGTACCTTCTGAATCTATATTTTAGTTCACACCCTTTCTTTTCTCATATATTAAAATATTAATCGGACCACACACACCCTTTTACTCTGTAAAATCGATTTCCTAATTCTAAACAACACAACTTTTTTTGTTTTGTTGGTTTTTAACGTTAAGATAAGCAACAGAACTTTATGTCAACTTTGAACCTGAAATTATGACGTTTTATTAAAATGAAATGAAATTAAATCCAAATCCAGCTCAAAAACTAATGTTTTGGAGTCATTCCTCTAAAAGTCCTAGATTATATTTTCTCTACCACTTCAAGAATTTCCATATTTTTTTATAAAAGATATTTGATTTTCTATTTCGCTTGTTGTCTGTATGTGCGTGTCTATCCTCGGTCGGCCATAAACAATCGATTGTATGTATTATTATTCAAATGCTAGCAGTATTCAATACTCGACATCTTTAAACTATTACCGATGTACAAAGATTTATGTTTTAATAAATGTAGTTACAATATATAACAAGCATATAGATCTTTATCGTGATTATATATGATCTTTACTAAGCTTCTTAACGCGTGTGACCTAAAGAAACGAAAGTTTGTCTCCATACCCTGCGTTATACTATTACGTACAATAATAATCCCTTGATTAAATCATTTATAATGCTTAGTAATTTAATATGTAACGTATAAAAGACAATTCTATATATACACTCATCTTTTATACTCGGGAAGCAGCATGTTCCATGCAGATTGGACTAATATGACTAGTTCTTCTGGTGTCCACCACATGTATATTTTTTTTTTATAATAGTTTTATGATTACTATGCATCCATTCATGTATATGTAAATACATGTAACTTGAAGGTTTGGTTAATTGGACAAAAGATATAATACTATGGATTGCCGTATAGGGACAATGAAACACTCCGATCCAATATTATAACAACAAATAAACTAATTGAAAGGGCGCCGTGGGATAAAACTCATAAAACGGGCTGACAAAAAGGTTGAACATGAAGAAAACAAAACGGCACGGCGTCTGAATGACTATAACGGTGGACGAGAACAAAACGACACGGCGTCAATATCCTTAAAGAGGGAAGAAGAGTCGTCGTGATTCGTCGGGTGGCTGGCTCTTTGATAAAGCAAAACAATAAAAAATAAACGACGGAAGCAAATCCGTTCCTTCATAGATAGGAATAGTTCGAATAGACTAGTACTGGGAGTGTTGGACCCACTTCATCAATGTTCGTGTCGATTTTTCAAAACTCATACTCTTCTGCGGTCTCACTCAACTATTCATATTTTAAAAAAGGTATTTTCGTCACAAGAAAATTCGTCAAGCAATTGACAAATTGAAAAATGAAAACTCGAAATAATTTAGGTTTTTATATGTGACTGAGAACGATAGGGGAATGGATTTATTTGACTCGGTTTTTTTTTTTTATTATGTCGATATTTGATTAAATTAGAAGCAGAAAGCCTCGCATCAAACCAGCAACGTAAAATTAGAAGCAGAAAGCCTCGCATCAAACCAGCAACGTAAAATTAGAAGCAGAAAGCCTCGCATCAAACCAGCAACGTAGAAAACCTCACCAAAAAAAAAAACATCGATGTGAGCTAACCAATAAAAATGATCGAGGATATATGAGATTTAGCACCGCAGAAAACGCTGGCCAATTACATAGGAAAGCTGTCATTTGAAAGATATCTAAATGTGTCTCAAAGATAGTTTGACTCGACGCTTAGGCACTCGATGACTTCAGACCATATATGCATTATTTATTTTGCAAATTGTTACGAAGACATGCAATAGAATTTGGATATTTATGCAGTCGACATCAATTTAAAAAGTACATACAGGATGAGCTCATTTTATGTATTTATTTTACGTCCTTTTTATCCATTATGATAGTTATCCAGTAGCTGACGTGGACTTTGTATCTTCTACTGCCAGTAA